GCATCACTTGTCAAGAATAATGAAGCAATTTTCGTCGTCTGTTCTTATAAATGACTTATTCAGAAAAATTTATTTACATTTACTCGATAAAATGTGATCTTTTTTACAGATACATTATTTATTGTACAATGAAATGTTAGCTGCAAAGAATTTGATAGCGAATCAAGGGATTTTGATAAGAGCCGCGTGTAGCTACAAGAATTTCAATTACCAGAAGCACGTACGCGAGGGAATAATTTGACTGTCAAGCTTTTTCGTTTGGAAAAAGCTCGGATTTCAGTTGTTCGGATATTAGATAGTAATTGATGTACTTGTGCAGTAGAAAAGCTGAGCGTAATGAATGTACGCTCAAAGGCGCCCAAATTCTAGAGCCTTGCAGAAAATGTTTTAGACTAACCTAGATGGGAATCCAGAGCAAACACTGTGCACAATAACCACGACCATTAGGGGTTAATTTCGTTTAAGGGCTAACAGGGGGCTAAATTATTTATCATTTTTCGATTACAGTACTAGGCTATAAAAGTTAAAAAAAATGTTTTTTTTCAATAACACAAATGATAAGCCTTTTCAATAGCCTATTTGAAAGTATTTTGTCAAGTTAGATACAAAATGAAACTACATAGGCTCCTTTAGCTGAATGCTTGATCTTGGATTTCTACGACAGTTAGCTTACATATGAGTATAGCTTGCGTTGATGACCAATACCCTCATTATTATTGTACTCAATTGTTTCTAAGTATCTAACTTGACAAAATACTTTCAAATAGGCTATTGAAAAAAGTTATCATTTGTGTTATTGAAAAAAAACATGTTTTTTACTTTTACAGCCTAATACTGTAATTGAAAAATGATAAATAATTAAGCCCCTTGTTAGTCCTTAAATTAATTCATTAGCCATCGTTGTCGTGACTTTCATTCAGAGGCCGGAGTTTATAATGTAATACGTTAAAGGATTATAAGCTGAACGAGTTTCCGTCGGTTACTCGGTACATCTCTCCTTCGCAATACACATTTTGGGCAAAAAGAATAAAAATTAGATTAAAGATGTTGGATACACGAAGCAAATTATAAACCTTCTGATATTCATGAAAAGATACATTTTTATGATAACTTCAACGATTGTCCCTACGTATGGCTTATCCTTAAATTTTATCATAATCGATAATGACAATGTGTACGTTCATGCACATAATATTACATAATATTACATAGTATAATAAAATATCGTATTTATCGATAAGATGTCACGACAAATGAAGAGAATGTAATAAAAGAAAATTCCTCGGCCTCGATGTACAGAGCCACGAAGTACAGCAATCAATTTATTGCTAGACAAAGAATTACCGTGCTGATTGAGGCTGATTTTATGATCATTTCTTGGGATATTTACTATTCAATATTATACATTATGAATGAATCCAAGATTAATATGAGTAATTCATTCGATGTTTCGTACAAAATTGACAAAGAAAGTGATTTTTGCGTACATTTTGCGTCGCTTTCTATGATTATTAAAGTAAAATTACAGTATTTAATTCGTAATACCATTATCGAGATATGATTTAATATGAAATAAATCAGTTTAATATATTGTACAATAATTGAAGTCATGCAGAATGAAGGATATCATGTTGTATTGAATCGTTCAAATTAATTTCTTGATACTGAGCAAATACTTCATAGATTTCAATAATTTTTTCATGCTAAAGAGTTGTATTGTAGTTATTTAAAAAAACGTTCTGATAACTCCAAACAATTTTATTAAATTTTTCGATTTCCTTGAATTAAATAATCATTTAGTCAATAATAAAGATTGTAAAAAAGCTTTAGTTTTCAAATTCGACATCAATTGATCAATTGATGGTAAATTGGTTATTATTTTCAGCTGATCTTTTGTTTCCTAAATAGCCAATGATCTATGCGCTTACGAAAACATTATAAGTTAATTGATTGAAATGTATTAAACGATTAATTGATTATTATAACGATTGCCATTGGTCTATTTAACGAAACCGCATCAATTTAGCAAATTATATGCTGTGATGCCAATCACAGTCAGTAGCACTGATTGTACCAATACGCTGAACTAAACTTTCGTGGTTACAAGCCTTAAAACTTTTTTTTAAGTTATAAATTCATTGCTACGTATTCAATTTCCCCCCTCAATTATAAATATTTGGGATAAAACTAAAAAAATATGCTATCCTTTTACAAAGAAATCGAGAAGTGATGAATTTTCGTCTTTAAATGATAAATCAAGTATACAGATTTGACAACCCGATCACAATGAAGCAGTTAACGCGTTTCATGTTGAACAAGATTACGAATTATCTTCGCTACGGTTTGGAAACTGTTAATCTGCAGTTAAGGTTGATAATATGAACTCAAGTAATTAGTAATAGATTAGCTTCTATGCATGTGATATACATATAGTTTATATTTCAAGGTCTTCTCGTACTACCTAAATTGAATAGAGAGATATAGTGTAAGCAACTTGATAGCACAGCACACATTGACCGTTATTATTTACACAAAGGAGACAACAAATATTATTAAACCACAACGAAATGAGATACATTTTCAAATTTGTAAGTGAAAAAATAATGAGCGTGAGGCAGATTTTTTACAAGATTCGAATACGTTTACTGAACAAATTAAATGATACGCGTCTATTTTCGATGCGCCTTTCAATTTTGCACGTACGTATTACGTCGCAGCCGAGTTAAATCAAATCTAAAAGCAGGAGGTTCTGAATGTCACGCAGTTATCGCGCATAATTATGTTTTCGCCGCAAAAGTCGGGTGCTATATATATATATTTCATACTTATATAAATATATATACGGCTATATGATACACGCACCCTTGCCACGCGTTTTTGCCTTGACTCGCACTTTCTGTGCTGTCACCGAGGAAAAATAGCTCGTCGCTACTACTACTACTGCTGCTGCTGTTGTTCCTCGAGATTTTTCCGCTGCTTTGTATTGCTGACAGTGCAGCAGCTTCTATATACATTCACCCGCCGAGCATTGTGTGGAATTTTGATGCTTCTGGAAATTAGATCCTATATCCCGAAGCGCTTGTGTGTCTGATTTCCACAATGAGCGAAATTACTCATTTGAAAAAAAAAATTCAAAAAAACAAAACAAATGTAAAACTGCGAACCTGAACCAGAGACCGTCGTTACGATGAAAAATTTTAAAAGCACAAAGAAAAGAGTATAATGTACAATCATGCACACATTTAACGGCAAATTCAGAATGTGCATATCATCGGTTGGGTCAGACAAATATTGAAATTCTTGAAATTTTATATCAAAATGCTGCTACGTCGCATTAGTTACGTGGCAAATTTTATCAAGAATTGAAAAAAATTTTAATCTGCGGTTCAATTAAATTTTTCTTTCTTTACGATATATATACTAAAGAACATGACAATTATAACCAAAATAGTTTCTTCGTGCTAGTTGCATTAACAATTTTTCGGTAAGAAACTAAACATAGTTGCGAAGTGAGCTAGAATACCGAATTAGTAGTTTACATATATTAAGTGTTACTTCTGTAAATTGTCAGTTGAGGCAAAAGTTTGGAAAATAGGCGTGTACTTTCACGCCCCTATGAAGTTGTAAAACACGATTCTTCAGCAAAAGGTGGCAATTACGTTTAGATGGTATAAGTTACAAAATGTGAATTTTTCAAAGAAAAATTACAATTGTCCCACTCGAATTTATTTAACAATTTGTACGAGTATGAACTTTTTTATAAAAAAAACCGAAGGGTACGCGTTGATTCAAAGTTAAATAAATATGTAAATATATGGAATAAATTTCGAGCTTGATCGAAATTTCGAAAGCAAGGTTTTCCATTGAATATGCGTGTAAATTTTGAGCGCGTGGAAGTTTCGTGCTCTCGGTCGAGATATTTTTCTTTCTCTCTTTATTTTCGGATAAAAAAGAATATGCAAACTCTTTATTCTTTTTAGCGAAATTCATATAGGGACAACAGAGATTTTATTTAGGGCGAGCACGTCCGTTCTGCAAAAAAAAAAACTTTGATTTTTGATGCGATGATCTTTATCATTGCGAAAGTATTTGCGTTATTGATTTATGAACAGTCGAAGCGGCTTATTCTATTTTATGTTTCGTAGTTTATTGACTTTACGTTTAGTTCGTACCGTTCATTTGCATATTTATACGTAAGCGTGCTTTTGCTCCATTTTACAATTGATATTTCCCAAAGTTAATCTAATTTTTCAATAAGATTTCAGTAAGAGTATATTTTTGGAAAATTCAGTGCCTTATCATTATTTTCTGAATTCAATTTTAAGATAAAAATTGATTAAAAAAGTATAAAAAATGTACGTATGCACTAAATTTAGATGATTAAAAATTTAGATATGTATTTTACGCTAAAAGCCATTCGTTCAAACTCATTAAAAAAAAAAATTAGATACTTAAAAAGTTATGATCAAGTACGTTGAAAAAAATGTACTCATTTTAAGCGATGAAAAAAGAGTGAAATAAATGTTAAATCTTGCGTTATACGACTGGATGATATTGGATGAGAGCCGTTAATGGAGTGGCGTCTTTTCCTTAATCTCAGATGTAAGTATATAGATATTAAATATACTCTTAGGTATTATACGACAGGATTTGCTCCGAATTCGCTATCCACGCGTTCTCGCTGCGAACACGTTGGGCAAAAAAAAATTCGATTTCATCGCGCTGACTGCGTTAAAAAGAACACACAGAAAAAGAAACGAAAAAAAAAGCAAAAGAGAAAAGTGTAAGTAATTTGCTCGAACGAGAGTTGGTTGCGGACATTTATTATCGGTAAGAGCTGCAAAAAACATGAACGAGAGCGAGCGAACACGGGTATATACAAGTAATAAAGATAAGGCTGGTTTAGCTCTCGGCCGTGTGTGCAGTATAAAAGCGCGAGTGCACATAGTGCACATAGAGTATAGTGCAGGTGTATATAATACAGCTATAGCTCGACTCACCTGCGCGTCTGACCTGAGGGGCCGCTGCAGCAGCGCTGGCTATGTGGAACGCCAGGCAGGCAGGCAGGTACAGGCAGGCACAGGCAACACGCACGGCTATAAACGAGGAGCTCTGCGGGTCAACAGGTAGCGGGCGCGCGCTGATGGAGCTCTGCCACCCCGGATCCGCAGGCAGGCAGGCAGGCAGGCAACAACAACGCGTGTCTCTGTGTGTGAGTAAACAAAAATTGGCCCACCAAAACTGTGCTAATGCGAGAGTACACTCTCGAACTGGACACTGGCGATGACGACGACGACGACGACGATGATGATCGTCGACACTGAACAGTTTTTCTTTTTTCCTTAATTTCCTTTTGATGTTTTCTTTTCTTAGTCGTACTCGCCAAAGAAGAGCAGCTTATACGACGACGCGCACGAGGAGACTGCTGCTGCTGCTGCTGCTGCACGCGAATCAAAATTCAGAGCAAAGCCAAGGAGGCGAACGCGTAATGCGAACACGCGCAATTACAGGTCCGCCGTGGTGTTGTAGCGCGTATCATGTATACACAGGGAGCAGCGGCGGTAGCAACGGTATAGGATGGAGCGCGCGCGCGAGACGAGGATCGAGAGAGAGAGAGAGAGAGAGAGAGAGAGAGAGAGAGAGAGAGAGAACGTGTGCGCGACGGCAGGCGTCGAGTTTGAGTTTCGGCTCTTGCAGTCGTGCTGCTGATGCGCGCTCCGTCTGTGGTGCTGCTCTGTGCTCTGTACTCCACTGCCGCCTCGGTTTTTCTCTGGCGCGCGACTCGCTGCTGCTGGCTGTGCCGTGCCGGGTGCAACTTGCAAGCTGCTTTGCTCTCTGTCTCTCTCTCTCTCTCGGGCGCGACTCCCCCTTCGCCCTCTGACGCGCGCGCGCTCGCCAAGCCGAGCTGCCTGCTGCAAGCTCCTGTGCGGCTAGCTAGCTAGCTACTCCTATTGCCCATGCGCTCTGCACAACCTTTTTCTCCTCCTCCCTCCTCGTCCACCTCCTCCTTTTTCTCCTCTTTCTTCTTTCTCTCTCTCTCTCACTCGCTCCAGCTCGATGCTCCACTACTTTACCTACAAGAGCACGTACTCATCAATTTAGCTCCCTTGCGCTAGGCTAAACAGACCATACGCTTCTGCATCTACATAAACCTATAGAATAATCCGCGCCACTGTTCACCGCCGCCAACTCTACCTACACGTATACATACTTTGAGCTTTTCTGATATTTCATATCAAAGAGTACCTGCTGCCGCACACGAATTTCGCGTACATGCCGTGCTGCTGCCGTGTGCCCGTTTACCGAGGAGCTTTTCTATATAACGTACGTGCCTGACAGCTCTCTTCGTATGTGCGCCGCTGCGGCTGCTGCTGCTGCTGCTGTTTTTAGCCTGGGCGCGCTTTTTTAAGGAAATGAAATTACTCTATATCTCCAACTTGGTGTGCACTTATGGAGAGCATCCGACTGATTGAATGCAGCTCTCGAGTGGTCGAGCCAATTTTCTAGGAATTATTATTTTTCAAAACAAAACTTCGCACCGGATTTAGATACGACACGTTTATTCAACCGTTATCGCGCTAGTCGCAACTCTCTTTGACTATTCGGATGGAACGCAAACTTTTATTGTTCACTTGTATTTTTAAATTAATTCTCATTTACGTATCAATCAAATCGAGCTATTTTAATTCCATTTTTTAATTTATTTTAAATACATCAGTTCTAATAAAACAAAAAAAGCTTCATTTACTCAATTTTAACATCTTATCGTTAGAATATCTTTTTAGAAATTTTATAAATTTTAATTTCTAATTTTATTTCGAAAAATATGGCAAAACAAAATAAGTATAGTAATACTCTTGTTTTTCCAATTGTAAAAGCTAGCAAACGTTTCAATAAAATTATCGTATTTATAAATATTTGTAAAAAAATTATTTTGTAAGAGAATTTAATCTCTTGAACTGCAGTCGCAATAATATTTACAATGTCGAAAATTCCATTTATACTGTTTAATACATTTCCTATTATTACTTAAATTTCATAATTTATTCAAAAAATACAGTACTGGCCTAACAACAAGTTTCATTGCAATTTATTGTAATTACAAAGAAGTGTTAAAAAAGCACATGATAGTGAGAATTACATGAAAAGAAAAAATATTTTCTTTAATTTAAAAGCTTTGATCAGCATCCATCTCCTACTAAATCCTCTACTTTAAAAAGTTGATTTTAACTCTCGACGAATTAATCCCTTTTTCAATTTCATGTTATTCTGGTTAATTATGAGTACGAGCGTGCACTTATCCGATCGTTTTAGTTTAATTTCAGAAAGTAATCCGCCAAAGTAAGGATACCAAATCAAACGAAAAAAAAGAAGGATTTCTTCAAGGCCACTCAAGATTGCGCTAAATTATACTTCTCAAAAAGAAGTTTTTCTAGTTTTAAATGAGAAAGATTTCAAGTTTATAATTTACATAAACAAATGTTCAAAGGTAGATGAGTGCTACATCTTTCCTTCTTATAATCAAAATACTTTTTCCCAAAGATAAATTATTGATGAAACAAAATACGTTGTCGTATTATAATTATAACTGTGTAATCGACGAACGAGTGATTTTTTGCAAATAAATTATAAATATGAGTCACCTACTTCAGGTTGATCTAATCTCGTTTTAATCTCACGAGCTCGCTAGACTCGTGTCGCAGTGTGTGTGTGTGTGTGTGTGTGTGTGCAAGCGTATACATGGCACTCTTTGTTGTCTTTGACGGTCTTTGTGCTCTTCGGGTACATGTGTGAATTCAATATACACGAACAAATAGACACTGTATACGGGGTCGAGATAAGCTTTACACTAAACAAATTATATAAGCTGATGAGGTTATTGTATAGGAGCCCGAGGACGAGACGGGGGCGGGAGAGTCGAGGGTGTAAACACGAGCCTCGGCAACTTTCGCCTACTCGCGCGCGCGCTGGGCGCAACTAATTTTCTCGGTGCTCGCGAGCGTTAATCTAATCCGATCGACTATGACGCTTGAGTCTCGCTACTACTTTTATTATATATACTGTACTTGGTGTGCGCCGCTGCGTGCTCCTGGGCGATCAATCGCGATTAGTTTATATTGCAAATTATGTTAATTTTATTATCCGTATACGATCCACTGCGGGATGATGAATTACTTTTGTTGTGTCAAATTTGATTCTTATGCAAATGCAGTACGACTATACTCGCTTAAAAAATTATTTTTATCTGCAAAGTTAGCTGAAAATTACTACTAAACATTTCAAATTATCTAACCATTCAATTTGCCATACGTATACTAGTATTGTATTTTCAGCCAATAAAACTTGAATAAAAATGCAATATCGCGTGGCTTTATTTGAATATACAGTGTATTCCAATCTTTTCAAATCGACAGGTTGGATATTGGGTTTTTATCGCGTCAAAAAAAGTAAATTTGATCCTGCAAGGTCTAACTTTCATATTATTTACTGATGTAACTCAGAAAGCTACAATACTTGCGGACTAGAATATAAAATAGTTGGCTTTTCAACGAGAAAAAAAAAGAATTAAGAGGGCAAAGAGAGCAGTCCGTTGTCTGCAAGTCTGTAAAAGTTGGCAACATAACGTCCGACTTGCGGGCTCTTTGATTGACTGACAGCATCGTTAAATTTAGTATAGGGCTTTTTATCTTTCTCACTTTTTTTCCTTTAGCATAAAGCGTCTGACCCAGTGGCGTAGCTGTACTACTTGAAAATCGGAGCAAGGCAGGCGCGCGCGCGATATAACGTGCTCGGAGAGCTTAAATATCGAGGCTCAAATTTTCGGTGGATATAATGATCTCTCTGTGTCTCGTAATAACGCAGTTTCTCAGTCGCAGCGGCCTCGACACACTGAGAGCTCAAGACGTATTTTGGCCGCGCACGATGCGACGATAATAACATGTAAACGCGATGCGATGCGCTTCAAGATTGTCGTCGTCGTCGTCTCCGACGGAGACACTGCTGCTGCTGCTGCTGAACAAAAGTGTGACGGCAATTTCCAGCGTTAAGGCGCTTTATTGCCTCCGATCGCCCGAGCTTTTATTATATTGCCTCGTGGGAGAGATCTCCTCGGGCTTATCAGCCCACGGGCTCGACAGCTCGCGATATACCTCGACGTTATATAGGCACTAGTTGCTGTGTGCGTCGATCCTATATATATGTATGCCACGCTACTCAGGCCTCGAGTCGTAAGCATTACATAATCGATATTGATGCTTGGCCGCGCGTGCATACATGTGCCTGTGCACTCGTAACGTATGTAGGTTCATTTTCCTGTAATAGGAATTTTCGGAGCGATAAAAAAAGAGTGCGCAGGAGAAAACTTTTACGATTCATTGTTTCCTGCGACCGAACTTTATGCCTATAACTTGAAAATTACATCAATTTTTTTAAATTTTTTCCCGAGCATTTTCAAAGATCTATGATGCCTCGATGGAACACCCAGAGCGGCGCGGTATTCAGACATTTTTTTCGTTTTTATGAACTGCGTGGAGCACTCGAGCGTGGCATTCTTGATTTCGAGTATTCACGTAGGCATAGTATAGCGGCGCAGAGATAATTTGCAATTCAGTTATGCCCCGCGCGTGTCTATGTCAGTGCACGTGCGTGCGCGAACGTATACGGACATAATACTGCGGAATATCTGAATCGATTCATCTCGAATCATCTGCTTATCAAGTATCCTTTTATGCGTTAGTACTGCGCACCGATATATGTACACGTGTGTTTGCGCGGGCAATACGTATATATGCGCGCATATATCGTATATAGCTGCAACACGCGGAAATTGTCAAAGTAAATTGTAATCACAAGCCATTTCAACTAGTGTACCCCCGCGTCTACAATCGACGGCATGATTGGTTTTAATGATATACATCACTTGCTACTACTGCCGCTGCTGCTGCTGCTACACCGACAAATATCCAACTGATGTATTTGCCTCGGTGCTTGGCCCAAATACGGCAAACAAGTTTAATTCAATTAAAGCCGAGTTTATATATTTTTCAATGTAAATATTATTATCGGTATGAAACGAGTATTAAATTATTATCAGAAGATTTTTGACCCATTAAAATAATTTTATTCAACATCCCGCAGTTGCATTTCGGAGTAGGAAAATTAATCGAATGATTCAAATATGAATTAATGAAAATCGTTAAATGATAAGTAACAAGTGTGAAATTATATCAATGCACTTGAAAAATTTGAAGCATACAAAAGATAAGTAGAAGTTTTTAGTGCGTATTTAGAGTCTGCTCGTATTAGTTCTGAGCTAGTAGTTTCGTTGTATACACTTGTAGAATATTTCCTGAAGTTACCGTGTCGGAATGCAGTTGCCTCGATAAATAGCTCTGGCGTCGGAACTATATACTCTATCTTAAGTTATGAACTTTGACCATAAATATAGTGGATCTTTCGATAACGCCAAATATATACAGGGAGAGAAAATGGTTTACCGTATATAACGCTTTATTCTCCAAGAACTTGAACTCATAAAAAGACACGATGGATAATGAAAAGTCAAATTCTAAGAGAAACTTAATTTTCGAGGTAATTGAGTTAGTGCGTGTTATAATTTCATTACACTTTCAAGATACTGTAACTAGAATTAAATTAAAATTTTCCCACGTGTTTCCAGAAGTATCTACGAAAATTTTTAAAAAGCTTCCTGAATATAATACATTTTATTGTCCTCTATATTTGGTAGCCTTTTGGTGAAATATTAAGCAGAAGTTCCAGAAAACATGCTTGGAGGTTTTGTTTCCTTCTTCGTTTCTTCTTCCCTAATAGGCTTCAATTGAGTTAATAATGTAAATTTTTTATAAGGTTTAATATAAAGACTTTATGTGCCTATATTGATACTTTAAATATTTAGAACCATGTATTATGCAAGTTTACATTTTCTTTTATTTTATTATTTACAATTTGTTATTCTGAGTGAGATTAGTTTATACGCAAGTTTCAAAACTTTGCCGAGTCAAATTTGTAAAACCTCAATTTCACTGTTATTCAAATTCAACGCAGCTACCCGGATGCGCATGCAATTTCTGCAATGAATAAATTGTACACAAAAATTGAGTGTGTTTTTTAAATAATAAAATCAAATTTATAAATAAATTTTATGGAAATTTATTTGTTATTTTTGTGACGTAAATTGATGTATTGGTGTTGGGTGGTTCTTTACACATTATTTTTCAATTGTGCTGAAGTCACTAATTACTTCGACCAGATGAGCCATGGATGCAAATCTTTTTGCCTAAAAATAAAATAATTTTCAATTGAAGGTATTTTATGTAAGGAAAATTGCATCGTTAAATATTATTAGTCAATTCTCAAGTTTTTCTCTTATGAATATAATTCACCACAACCAATGTAGCATACTTACTACACCCACTCATCTTGTCAACTTTAAAATAAAATAACTTTACTACTATAATGTCATTAACGTACATTGCATTTGCAAATAGTGCCAAAAAGTTATTCAGCAGGTTTTGTAGTCCTACAAAAATTACCGTAATTAGTATAAAATTACTGTCATTCGATTTTTTTATTCGGTGACATTGAAACATTAAAGTAAAATTTCTTTAAGGTTAAGGTATGGGGTGAAAAACGAACTCAAAAACGATTAACCAGCAATGATTGTTACACGTGCTGGAGACTGGGGTTGGCCAGGGCCGAGTCGCACTCACTCGTTTCTATCTGCGTTCACTGTTTAGTTCGGCCCTCGTGCCTTTGCAGTAGAGTTGGGTTGGGTATGTATCTGTGTCTTTGCTCTGTTTCACGCAGTCTCGCGTCGTGCAAGTTCGTGCGTGTATAGCGTATGTGTATAGTCAGTACTCAGTGCACGTCACGACGCTACAACGTGAACAACAGAGAAAAAGATCGCATCGACTGCAAAGAGTGATTCAAGCAAACAGTGTCAAAAATATTTTATATGAAAAAGTGACTTCGTGTTGTATGTGAGTGCGCAAAACGATGTTCATGTCCGATGAAAGTTTCGATGGCAGAGATAAAGCAAGAGGTGAAATCGACGACGAAGACATGGATATGGATTACCATGGCCAACTGAACTTGGCAAAACTGAAGAGCTTACGGCATACGACCAATTGGGAGATCGAGACAGAGCGACATGAATTTCTCCGCCGACTTTACCCGTTGGTCAAAGATTGGAAGGGCCCACTTCCCGATCTTCGGGACATATTTCGGCCCGAAGAAATTGATTGGCTTCTCGCAGAGTCCGCAAAGTCGGGTCACTACTATGATGAGCTAACTCCGCTCGTCAAATTTGTGATCAACACCGGCTACAAGGACAAGCCTGACTTTGATAAATATGGCATGCCACTGTTTCGTCGCACCACACCAATACATCATGCGAACAAACTTCCTAATGCTTTTATCATTTCTGATCTTCTCAGAATATACGACAGATTCGACGTGAATTACACCGACGAGTCTGGGCTCACACACTTGCACGTGGCTTGCAAATATGGTTGCGACGATGCTGTCCAAAAAATCCTCGAGTTTGGGCAGGAACCCAATTGTCTCTGGCAAGAAACAGGTGATTCGCCGTTACACTTGGCTCTGGAGCACGGACGCAACGAGTTGATCGAATTACTGCTACGAAATGGCGGAATCCAAATTTAGCCAACATTAAGGGGTTAACTTCTTTGCACATGCTTTGTGTGGGATGCAATGATGATGATTCGGCGGCGGAGATGTTATTTAAGTTCGGCAACGATAAAAATCAAACGATGCAAATCGACGCTCGAGACATAGTGGGTAATAATCAATTGCACTTGGCCCTGAAAAGAGGATGCTACGAGATGTCCGAATGGCTGCTGAAAAAAGGCGCTGATCCTAATTTGGCCAACGCCGAAGGACTGACTCCTCTGCACATGATTTGCAACAACTATTTACATGCCAACTTGGTGAAGATATTTTTTGAGATCAACGACGACCTTCAACAGACGGTTCAGGTGAACGTTCAAGACCAGTTGGGTCGGACACCTCTACAACTAGCTGTAGGAAATTTTTGGCCGAATGAGGTTGATATACTCTTAGATCGTGGTGCTGATTTGTCTAGCTTAGTATTTCCCGCTGAGAGTTGCTTCGACAAAAGATTTGAAGCAGGAAGATATAGAATGCTGAGAACATATAGATTAAAACTACCGGCTCAAATGCTAGACGTCGTCGAGCGCTTAGAGAAAAGGGGATACCAGATGGACCGATGTGGCGCTTTAACGATTATTAAAATATTCACTAAGTGTGAATGGTTCATGGAGTCGTCGGATCTTGTTCAACGTTTGTTTAACGACGAAGAATTCGTGATAAACGCGAAAATATTCATGATTAAGCCAAGTCTGTCGCTCTACGACTTCCTACATTTACGACCCAAAGAGGCAGCGAAATTACTCTCATATACGGACTACTTCAATTCCGCGGTTAATGTTATTGTTCACTGCATACGAGACTCTAGAGCTTGTTTTGAGTATCTGTGCGAGGTAATGTCGAGAGGATTTTTCCGACGTTGGGCACTGGATTTCATCTTGGAGTTGACACGTTACCGGCTGCCCATTCTTTGCTGTGAAGAAATCATCGAAAATCTAGCGAAACAAGATTTATGTCGTATTTGCTTGGCAGCCGCCGATTTAGGTTCGTAATGGCCTATAGCATTCTCGTAACCACTACATACTTCAAAAAAGAAAAAAACTTTTTGACAGTACAAAATAACTGCTACTCAAACAAAGCATGAATATAAAACATGTGTCGGTGTAAAAATAGTATAACTTTGTTTTGCTGATAATTCACTCACAGCTTTGCTGAGTTCAATTTGTAAACCGTCATTTAAATTTAAATAATTTAACTATACACTTATGAAAATTCTTCAACGAATAAATTGTATACGAAAATTGAGTGTGTTTTTTAAATAATAAAATAAAATTTACAAATGAATTTTGTAACAATTTATTTTTATTTTTGAGTCGTAGATTGATGTATTGGTGTTAGGTGGTTCTTCACACAGTCTTTTTTAATTGTGCTGGAGTCACTAATTACTTCAACCAGATGAGCCATGGATGCAAGTCGCTCTGCCTAAAAATAAAATAATTGTTGACAATTCAATTCAAGCTATTTTATATATAAAAAACTACATCGTTAAATATTATTTAAATAGCAATCCTCACGTATTCTCCTTATGATTATAAAATACGAAAATTCATATAATATTTTACACGTACTCATATTATCCACTTGATAGTAAAACAAATGTACTACTCTAATGAAATCAATTTGGATGTAACTATAAGTACCAAAAAGCTAACTAACGGGCTGCAGTGTCATAAAATTTTTCAAGTCTATGCGGTAATTTCTTAATTTAAGTGTCATTGTAATTCCATGTTTTAAATTCGAGTTTAAACAAGATTATATTTATTATATTGATAATAAAATTATTTTACTAACGAAAACTTTATTTTATTATTACTATGATTTTTAGAAAAATTTCGAAATCTTTCTTGCATCATTTTATTATTACCTTGGCTTTAAAATTACCGTCAACGTAAAGGCCTTTAAAACTTAACTTTTTTAAAAGTGAGATTCTGTCGGCGTGCTGGGTAAAAGGAGTTAAGCCGTGAAAAACGAGTATGAGCGGGTTCGACAATCGAGATATTCTTTCGCGCGCTGTAATTGGCCGATGCCTCTGGAATGTCCAATCGTTCTCTACTGCGATGAGCGCAGCGTGAACAAAGAAGAAGTTACGCATCGAGTGCAGAAGTGATTCTTGTTAAGAAAAAGCAAACAGTTCGAGTTACATAATCGACTATACTTAATTGTGTGCATGTGAATGTGCCGATGATGGATGTGTACAACGAATTATCCGACGACAGTTTCTACGACGAATCTGACACAAGCAGCGATAGCGATGACTATGCCATTGAAGAGGTGGATCATCCTAACCAAAATTCTATAGAAAGGTTAATAAGTATGCGTGAAAAGGTCAATTTAGAGATCGAAAAAGGGCGACACGAATTTCTCGATCAAGTTTGGCCTTTAATCAGACGTTGGGTGGGCGAACTTCCAAATCTCCGAGACATTTTTCGAGAGGAAGAAATCGAGTGTCTTCTCACGGATGCCGCATTGAAAGGAGGGATTTTAAATCCTGATGGAGAACAGTTCATACAGTTTGTGGCTCGAAGTGGCTACAAAAATGTGCCCAAAGTTGATGAAGACGGCAAGCCACTGTTGCTTCGCACCACTGCAGTGCATCACGCGAGTAGAAAAAAATTTCATATGTGGAAAACAGCGGTCAGTGAGCTTTTTAAAATATACGATAGGTTCGATGTGAATTATACCGACAAGTTGGGTATTACACATTTTCACGTGGCCTGCCTATCTGGCTGTGCTGAAGTCGTCGAAAAATTTCTTGAACTCGGCCAGGATCCTAACTGCCTCGAGCCAAAAACTGGTAATTCGCTTTTAAACTTGGCCTTGAAGAACCAAAACAAGGAGGTGGTCGAATTGCTGTTAAGAAATGGAGCTGATCCAAATTTAGCTAATGCCGAAGGATTGACCCCTCTTCACATTATTTGCGATACGGCATACAGCGACGATGACTCGATGGAGACATTCTTAAACATCAACGAAGATATCCAGCAAACGGTGCAGATCGACGCCGTAGACGCGTTGGGCCAAACACCATTACACTTGGCTATGAAACGCCGGAACAAGACAACGATCGAATTGCTGCTGAAAAATGGTGCCAATCCGAATGAACCCGATTTAGAGGGATCGACACCTCTGCACGTTGTTTGTAAGTCAAGATACGAACATCATGAAGTGGCGAAGCTATTCTTCAAGATCAACAAAGAACTCGAACAGCCGGTGCAAGTCAATGCCCTAGACAATTTCGGTCGAACACCACTGCAATGGGCAGTCCTGTGTCTTTTGCCAGATACGGTCCATGTACTTTTGAATCGTGGTGCAGATCTTTCTACCTTTATTTTTCCCCCTGAGAATGACTTCATCAAGATATTTAATCCACAGTATGTTTCGGGTAATTTCGATTCCAAATTGAGGTTAGCGTCTGGCGCGCTGTTTGTCATCGAGCGTCTTGAAAAAAGAGGATACGAGATGGACCGAGGCGACGCCTTGACGATCATGGCATTATTCGCTAAGTGGAGATTGCTCGAGTATTCGCAGGATCTTGTTCAACGTTTGCGTGGCCGCGAAAAGTTCGCGACAAGAGCGAAAAAGATAATGATGAAGCCGAATCTGTCGTTCTACGATCTGATCCAGTTGAGCCCCGAAGATGCGAAAAAATTACTCACGTATAAAAATTACTACAGGTTCTCAAGTGGAGATCCGTGCAACTTCTCCGATAGACATGAAGAGGCTTGTACCATGCATCTGTGCGAGATAGTATCAAGACGATTTTTTCGACACTGGACACTAGAATTTTTCATTACCTTGACGCGCTACCGGCTACCAATTCTATGCTGTGAAATGATCATCAAGCAGTTGATGAATAAGGATTTATGGCATATTTACTTGGCGGCTACAAACCAAAGCTTGTGATGACTCTTTCATGTCCATAACCATTATTAATACTTCAAAGAACGAAAACATTTTCAACAGTAAGAATTAACTGCATTTCGAAAAAATCATAAATATATTTACACAATCATTAGCTTTGTTACATATTTTAATATAAGAACAGAGTTATAGTTTTTTTTGTAACGCTCCAACTGCTTTCCAACGCCTTTTCTTTTAAAAATGAGTGTTACAATTTAAATAAAAAAATGTCATTCATTAATTTGCTTAAATTTTAATTTTTTGTGTTTTTTTATTTTAGTTATATTTATATAGTCATAAGGAAGTTTCTCATACTTTTTTTTTCTCACAAAAGTATGAAAAATTATCATTGAAAATTGTTTGAGAACGTTCAGAGGACTTGTCTAGCTTCGCCGTGAAACAAATTTATAAATAATTGCTCGATATGATCAAAGGACAAACAAGGATAGGTTCTGCTTACCTTTATTCGATCTCTGCGAGCCGCGTACAACATCCAAATGATATACGTGGCCATTATAGCGGCAGGAATGCAAATTCCAGCTATAGTTGACGATGCGCCTCGCGCAAAAATGTGAAAGAATCCAATGAGAAGAATGACAAAGGCCGCTGCTACGGCGACGTAACGTCCAGTACGCCTTCGCTCCTCCTGCTCAACGTTATCGTCGTTGCGAGTAAAAAAACCAAATAAATAAGGATTTAATACGACTGAGAGACTTTTTTGCGATGCGTTTTTATTTACACGCGGTGGCTTTCAACGATATTACTTAACATTTATCTTGACAAAAAACTTGAATGGGCTTAGAGGACCTTCAAGGGAAAAGAACTAATCGTAACTTTTGTGAAAAATGTAGAGTAATTTGCATCTGCGTTAAGGTCCACTCCATTTGTCAAAAAGAAAAATAACCTTCGAATGCTTGTTTTTTGCTCTTCCCACTAACTGCGCGTTTACGCAAATCATGAAAAAGCCTGTGTACATAACGAACTATAAAAAGTGAATGAAAATTCATGCTACCAACACAACTTTTTTATTGACGATTCCACTCGGTCATATATGCTGAAAGCTTTTTAAAATTATAATTATTTTTTCACTCGGACTCTTTTGACACTCTTAAATCGAAACAGTGAGAATTTCGCTATAACTTGGTGTACTTTTTAAATACTACTATATAAAAAAAGTTGAGTTAAAATTTCATAAATTAAGATCAAATGTATAATGGCGCACCAAAGTATTAACGAAATCGTTTAGATGGTATATCTTGATGTCAATAATATTGGAAAATGAGAATTAAAATAAGATTACATTTTTTAAGGTTGGTATGAAATATACGTCAGTTAAATGTAATGAAAAACGTTTCCTCCAAACTCCTACTCAGTTTTAAAAAGCCAGCGGTCCAAAAAATGTGAAACAAAAAGTAGCCACCCGTGAAAGTAGTTTTGTATTATGCGGCAAATAAATAAAACGAGTTAGGTACGACTCATGCGATAGCTTACAAGTAGCGCACCTTGTGATAATAGCTGTTTTCACTTAATTCATCGTGTGGATGCAGAATGTGTCGTGTCGATGTCACCGACTGCGTCTGCATGATAGAGGCCTGCCCGCTGCAGTCCTCCGGCCAGTGCAGCAGTTTACGCCAACGGTATATATTGTCGCGTCCGGAATTCGATTGTAAGCCGCAACGATCAATCAATTTTCATTCGACTGGCTCCAACAACTTGATTTTGCGCAACGCCCAAGAAAATGGCACGATACGTTACAGATATCCGCTCGAATTGATTTTACTTGTTTTTGAAGCAATGACATTTACTTAGTTCGGTAGCGCGATCGATCATGTCCGAGCGATAATTGAATAGTCTGATCCGTAAGATCAAAAAATAGCGCCTCGTGCTGCAGCGGCAACGCTCCGCATACTATCGATTCGTTGCTGCTAATTTTCTGCGATCGCCGAGGTACTTTTATTTAGGTACCCGCGAAGCGACGTCGAGCCTGTGTAGCTATTTGGCAAAATAATAACAAACAAACCATGTTGCGAGTCTGGCACGATAATACGCGACGGCGCGACGTAGTATTTGCGTTTGCAATTTTGCAGACACCTACGACGGAAATTGAACTTCTGCACGGAACAATCTGAAAACAAGCCATCTACGAGCGGAGCGGCATAAAAATTCCTCTCGTATATACGCTTTTGTACGTGTACGTGTGTATGTGTATGCCTTGACCAAGCAGTAATTTACGGATGTTTTTTTTCGAATCAAAAGCAACGTGCTGGTCCGCCCCGCGCGCGCGTTCGCAAGCCGAGAAAATCGACAAGTTCGGAAGGAATATTTTTCACGTTGCGAACAGATGCAATCTCGTTGCAATCGAATATCTTTTGTACCCGTACGTGTGTATGCAGCAGCTTGATTCTCTACCGATGTTTGCTTTCTTTTATTTCTATGGCCGAACGTGCGCGCTCGAGCTTATTTGTTCGGCTAAAAGAAGATGTGTTACTGCAGTTATAAATTACGTTGCTCCAGACTCCATGCAAGCTTGTTTATATCTTATACATTTTGGACAACACCAGTCGATTGATTATCTACTATATATTTGATAAAGCATTTTTAACCAGTCAATTATCGAATTGTTCGACTTATCAAATACCTAAGATTATTATAGCACCCGTAATGAAAATTCTAATTTTTAACATGGATTTTAAATAATTACAATTTTTTTATTCTACTTGTTACTTGGATGAGTAACTAAGTCATAATGATTGAGTTAATATTATTATTTACTTAGAACAAAAACAAAATAAAAATTGAAAAGAAATATAAAAATATACAAACATGCTTATTTAATATAGTATGTAGCCTTGCGAAACAAAGTTTCAATACTCGGAAAAACTCGAGAACTTGAAAAACAGGGATGCCCTAAAATTAGAGTACTCGACTTACTCGAGTCGAATTTTTTCGGACCCTCACACACCCCTCTACTAATTAGCAATTGTGCTCATTGATTCAATAATGGTCATTTTTATTTCTATTACATATAAAATTTTTGAACCAAATTGAAAAAACAGATTAGAGTTAAAATTAAAAAAAACATATTGAAAAATTTTGTTGAAAAAACGTTCATTTTTCCTTTGAACTCTAAATTAATAATAAAGTTTTTCCTATTAATATATTTTTTCCCGAAAACTATCGATGTTTAGTTAAATATTTTATAAATAATTGTGTAAAAAACGGTTGTTTTGTGTTGAATGTACGAAAAAGTTTTTTTCTACATCTTACTAAGCTTCATCGATGTCCTAGGGGTAAGCGAATACCGAACCTTATCAAAATTTCCAAACACATTTTTTTTAATCGAAGAAAATTATTTTTTTCATTGTTTCCAAATTACTTTATTACCATGCAGGTGATTTACAAACAATCGTGATATAATTAAGATTTAATGTAGAGTAGCAGTGTTACGTTCCAGTTTACAGTTACTGTAAACGTAATTCGAAAAAAATTATGAGAGTTTTTACTACTTTTAAAAAAATTTAAAAAATAGTTATTTGGTTTTAATTAAATTATGAAATGCTTCCCACGTTAGTTATTTTAGATATAACATATTTATTACCCCCATTGTTATTATTGATAACTTCTCTTTGGTCGGATTACTTTGCCAGCACGTTTATCAAAATCTCATTATAGCGTATGTTTGATCAATTCAGGCTCGCGTATGAATATTCGGGGATTATCAAAATTCACACTTCCAAATAAGACATGCAAAAAACATAATAAGTGCACAATAGTTGAACGCTCAATGCGCAATAGTTCACGTGCAATGATAGTTGAACGTTCGAGGTTCAGGTAATATACAATCATTTTGTAATTTTAGAGAAAAATGTATGCATGAGTATCCATATATTTACAACTGTGAGTCATCATTTCTTCTTGCACTCGTCGCAAGCTAAATCTTAGTGACCCTTGTGGACTGTCTTTTGGTGTTTTCTCAAATTGCTTTGACACCCAAACATCTTTTCGCACTTGTCGCACACGTAATCTTTGCGACATTCATGTACTGTCTTTTGGTGCCTGATCATATCCGATTTTTGTCCAAATTTTTTCTCGCAATTTTCACATGCGTAATCTTTGCGACTTTCATGTACTGTCTTTAGATGGGAGAGCAGGTTCGATTTCCGCGTAAATTTCTTCTCACACTTGTCGCATGCGTAATCTTTGCAACCGTCGTGTACCGTTCTTTGGTGTATGAGTAAAGTCCCTTTTTGTCCAAATTTTTTCTCACACTTTTCGCATGCATAATCTTTACGACCTTCGTGGACTGTCCTTTGGTGAACAAGTAAATGCTGATCAAATTTAAATTTTTTCTCGCACTTGTCACACGCAAAATTTTTGCGACCCTCATGGACTGTCTTTATGTGCAAGAACAAATTGTATTTGTATCCAAATTTCTTCTCACACTTGTCGCATGCATAATCTTTGCAACCGTCGTGTACTGTTCTTTGGTGTATGAATAAAGCCCCTTTTTGTCCAAATTTTTTCTCACACTTGTCGCATGCATAATCTTTACGACCTTCGTGAACTGTCTTTCGGTGGACAAATAAATGCTGTTCAAGTTTAAATTTTTTTCGCACTTGTCACACGCGAAATTTTTGCGACCCTCATGGACTGTCTTTATGTGCAAGAACAATTTGTATTTGTATCCAAATTTTTTTTCGCAATAGTGGCATGCATAATCTTTGCGACCTTCGTGTACTGTCTTTTGGTTGAGAAGCATAGTCTGCTTAAAACTAAATTTCTTCTCGCAATTGTCGCGTGTGTAATCCTTACGACCCTCATGGACGGCCTTTATGTGCATGAGCAAACTATGTTTTTTTCCAAATCTCTTGGTGCACTTTTCACATAAATAATCTTTGAAAACTTCGTGGAATATCATTTGTGCCTGAGTAAAGTGGATTTATTTTCAAATTTCCTCTCGCACTTGTTGCACCTAAAATCTTCGCGATCTTTGTGTACTAATTTTTGGTGTCTACTCAAATGACTTCGGAACTCAAATTTCTTTTCGCACTTGTCGCATGAGTAATCTTTTTGTTCTTTGTGAATTTCATCTCGGTGTGTTATCATACTTGATTCTAGCATAAATACCTCCTGACAAATATCATCGATGTTTTGTTTGTCGTCCGAAACGACAATGTCGTGTTCACTTGAACTGTCGTTAGAGACAAATTTCTCGAAATTCTCTTCACTTTTATTCATTTTTGTGCCTAAATTGAACGATAAATCCTTCAACTTAGTGCCACGGAAAATAAATTAATAAAATTTATCTTTTGGTGTTATTGCTTTGTTTCATCGGGAAAGACAGCATTCAAACTAATTTTATTTTACTAATAAACATGATCAGTGTTCGTGGGACGATGGCAAAATCATTTATTATCATATTGTTTACAATTAAGGACGTTGGGGACCTTTGGGTCAAGATGGGTCACGAAGTTGAAACTTCAGGATTTGATAGTTAAAAACCCTTATAATTTTCTCCCGCAATTTCAGCTTCGTTTGTCGAATTAAATTTTGTAAATTTTAATTTCAAAAGTACACTTTTTGACATGGCTAACATAGAAGCGCACAAGATATTTCACACGATTTTAAGTATAACTTGTGATAAAGATGGAAGATCGTGACCAAATTTCACGTAATTAAAGACGAAGTTATGACCTTTCAAATGGTATCGGTTATATTGTATATTCACGAGCATATTTCAAAGTAATTTTATAAAAATAAAAAAATTTCGTGTTTGCTCTACATGCAATCTGACTCGCGAGCCACCTAGTCAAATCAAGTATCTACCTTCCGCTGTTTCTTGATAGTTGCTGATTTGAATTCGGTTGCTTCCCTAACGTCCTTAAGGGGCCAATTTATCTGCTTATATGTTATCCTTACAATATTTGAAAACATTTAAAATTGTTACTTGTTGACGACTTCTTCGATGAATTTCTTCCGAAAAAACTGCCGACAGATAACATCGAGATCACCCAAAAAACATCGAGTAAATAGCTCTTTATATACACGCATAATAAAAAATGTTAATATATATTCATTCAAAAATTTGCCATCCATACGCCATGAACTGATTTGGGATTATTTGGAATATTGATTCGAAGAGCCCGATTTACAGAAGAGAGACAATTTTTATGACAATATTTAGGTTTGCAAGATTAAACAACATTCTACTATTTCTGAAGCCATCGACGTATATTATAGTGACATACCAGTGCTTCTGGACAAGGATCAGGCCGATATTTATTTTATTCTAATTGGTATTAGTTTTGACTTCATAGACAAGGATTCGTCACAATCGTTATTTATCATGTATTCTTGCATTGAATTTATGTTTGGTAAATTTAAGTAAATACTTCAAGAAAGAGCAAATTAAAATGGGAGTTAAGAAATGAAATGTATCTAGAATCAACACCTTGAAAAGTTGTTATTTTTAAACTGTAACAACTATTGAATATTTCAAATATTTACAATAAAAAAATAAGTTTCATTAGTTTTTCAACATCTAAAGTCAACATATAAAAATATATACAATCATTATCATTTATATACATTTATAACTTTAACTTTTAATTTTCGCAGACAACATCAAATTTACAATCTTTCGCAGCTGCTGGAAATATATCTTTCATAATAGATACAGGACATAAACCTTCTTCTGGACAGCCAGGTATTTGTGCAGGACGTTCTTGATGTAAGACAAGAATACTAGGTCCTTGTTTATCACAGCTAAAATTAAATTTTAATAAAAATGATTGATCATTGTACTATTATCAGTGTTAATCAGTATCAATAATCATCAGTATTGAACTTACTCATACAAAACAAAAGCTATATTGCTGGCAAAAGCATCAATAAGACTGCTTCTCCAATTTCTTGAAGAATTGATAGGAAATGTATCATGAGTAAGTACTTTTTCATCTTGAGCAATTCCAAGAATAGACAAAATTTTAAGAATAGTTCCTGAATGTGAAAAGTAAGCTGTGACTAAAGTCTCATCTTCTTTGCTGAAAAATTAAATATTAATTACACTCAGACAAATAATTTGTAAATGATTTCAAAGAAATGTGCTGTACATACTCAAAAAATGTAAACATATCATGTAAAGCTGGACATGCTTGTTCATAATTAAGTTTGTAGCCATAACTATCTTTCCAATAATACTTCAAATCTTCTGCATACTCTAAGACCTACGATGAAGACTATTATGAGAAATTGAATTAAATTTGAAAACTATATCTTGAGTTCATACGTTTAAGTCATTGATTGATAGTAGATCGCACCATGGTGAATTTTCAGCTTGATTAAAAGCAGTTTCAAAACCACACATCATATAAATAAGTCTAACATGTGCTGTAAAAGTTGAACAATTAATAAATAAAATTATTAATATTCTTTAAAAACAATAAAAAAATTATAATTCTACCATAATCAAGTTTTAAACCAATTTGCTTTGATACATCTTTTACAACTTTTTGCACATAGTTACTTTGTATGAATAGATCTCTTTCTTTTTGGGTTTTTGGATTATCATGAACTTCTTTTTGCCATTTTTTACATTTTTTATAGAACTGTAAAATAAAAAGTATTATAATATATTTAATTAATAAAAAGGCACATAAATAAAATTAAATTAACTCTTAAAATTGGATCTTTCTTTTCAGGTTGTTCAAATACAACTTTTTTACTTTGATGTTGTCCAAATAGTCCCATGACAAATGATTTGGCACTTAGCTCTGTTCGTTGGGTAGCAGTGTATTTGAACTATATAAAAAAAGTTATTGTAAATTAGTGAATTTTAATAAATCTAAAAAAGTTACTATTTTTGCTAATAAAATATTGTACTCTGAATAAGTTTTTTTCATAATCATCGGGAAACAATTCTGGTAATCTAGCTTGCATTCTTTCAGCAAGATCAATTAATTCATTCTGTCCTTCTTCCGCTAAATTCATAGCTTCTGCTTCTTTTAAATTTATAGTCCACCTCTCAAGTTTTTCAATAAAATCAGCTGATAATTTTGATTTTCCATTTTGATAGTTTTTAATAATTTGTTTTTGAATATCAGGTAAAATTTCAGTCATAGGTTTTATGAATTTCCTAGCAGGAAGTCTTGTTCCATGTCGAATCATTAACCATATTTTTTTTTTAGTGCATCCTAAAATGAATATTGTTATTAATGCATATTCTTAAATAAATATTTTAAATTATTACCTGCAAACTGGAGTTGGGAATCATTGTAGTTGGCAACAAATCTATACGGTGTCATAGTACTAGATTTGCAATCAGGTTGATTGCTATTTTTTAAACATTTTTCACTAGATGCATTTGTTAAGTAAAATACAAAAAGTTGTAAAACCCAAAAAAAAATTCTGCTGTCCATAATTAATTAAAATTTAAACTATAGGAAACTTCTAAGGGATCTGAAAAGTATATGAAATATATATAATAAATGTTTACATTTTATATTGTAACAATCTGTTAATCAATCTTAAAAAACTTTCTAATCAAAATCATGTGATTATTTAAAATAAAAAAATTAAATGTTATCTAATCTATTTTAAATTAATTGCAACCGGTGGATGCAATCATGAAAATGATAAAAATATTAAAAATACAAAATTTATAATTGTTCTCAGTTCGACTAATATACAATGGTCTTGTTATGCAAAAAATTTTGGAAATTACCTAAACATGGTTAATCATGAGTGAACTGATAGCAGACGCTTATTTATGTCATGCTTCATGATACCTCGTAATGTCCAGGTTCTGCGTTACGTTTTCTGTTATAGACGCATGGATCTGGTAAAATAATAGTTATTCTAACACTATGGCTGTTAACATGTTATCAAAAGCCTTTAGGCAATTAAATATCAGGAATCCAGGTAATTTATTAACTTGAGCTTCTTTAAGTAGTATTTCAATTTTTTGCAATGACATGCTATCAATGCATAACCTAGTTTTACAATAACACTTTTTAAAAATTTAAATTTGGACGTCAACTTATGAATTCAAATGTTCACATTTTGTTTTTTTTTACTTTCAGAATTTTTCATAAAATGTCAACCAGTTACTCAAGTTAAACTGCCATTCAAGCCATCATCGGATTTATTGTCTAATCCAGAGTACACCAATGTTGAATCTTTGAAAACTAATTTTTCGATTACCTGTCGATCTATTGAGTTAAACTTAAACATAATAAAACCTCCACTACCAGTCAATAAAATCATAGAGTGCCCAATTCTACCATTACTTCAAATTGATAATCCATTAAAAAACCAAAAAGAAATCAATGAAATTAATTCCAACAAAGTGATTGAAATTCCCAATGATACAAATATCATTGAGAAACAAGCAGTAAGAATGATAGTCATAAGGAGAAAGAAAATAAAGAAGCATAAAAGAAAGAAGTTTCTCAAGAGAATGAAGTTTGTTATTCGAAAGAGAGAGCAAAAAAGAAAGTTGAAAAAAGAAAAAATTTTCCAAGCTAAATTACAAGACATTTATCAACAAGCTGAAGAATTTGATGCTAAGGCGTATGTTGCTTCACGCATTTATCTTCACCAAAGAGAATTGGTACCTACTAGATATAGAGGTGAACTTTTACCTGAAGACCAAGTAAAGGAATTTTTAAGACAAAAAGCTGAAAGAAAAGCTGAAAACCGTCGTAGATGTACGTATAGAATTAAGTTAGAAAATGATTGATTTGTGTAAGTTTTATTTATTATTATTTTAACTACTTTGCAATAAACAGAAAAAGACAAATCTTACTCTATTGTTTTTTTAGCACTTTTATTTTTAAATCAAATTAAAAGATATTACTCATTTATATTAATGGTTTATTTAGTACAAAAATATCTGATACAGTACATAACTTAAATTGCTTATTAATTAAGATTGGTATTATTAAAGTAATCATATAAATTATTGAATACAGATTCATAACAGTTTCTTCTTGAGTACTTTTTAAGTCACTTATCAGCATTATATATTATATTGTGCAAGTAAAAAAATAATACTATTTATATAATCAGATGAAAACACAGATTATATTAGATTACTAAAATATATACTAAATTTTCATCTCTATCAAAACAAATATGTGGCTCAATGATGAATAACTGAATTATACTCAAAACCTTTCCATAAAACCAAATCAATAGAGATCTCTGTTACTTATTTACAGTTAAAAGATTTGGAAATTTATCATTATTTATATATTCTGCTATTTATTATTCTAATGCATGCTTCACTCAAAAATGTCTTTGATTGCAATCCGTGCAGTTGCAACTACTCCTCTAGCTTTTGCCTTTAAAAAAGTACAAAGTTATTTATTAAAGCTACTATCACATTGGAAGAACTTGTCCTTTTGTTGCTTCTAAAACTTTAGTTTTTCTTGCCAGTAAACTACCAGTTTTCAAGCTATCATTTCGACCTGAAAAATAATCTTCAATTTCTTGGAGAGATTTATGTTTGGTCTCTGGTAAGTAAATGTAAAAGTAAACGGTACCTATGATTGAGACAGCACCATAAAGGAAAAATGTTCCATAGTTACTTAGAGAATCTAGTAATAGTGGATATGTTTTAACTGTTGAAAATACAGCTATATGATTAATCATAGTTGTTAAACCACCAATTACACCACGAATTTGTACTGGATATATTTCTCCTATCATTATCCAGGGAACTACTAAAAAGCCCATTGTACAAGTAATTGTGTAACCAATTATACAAATCAATGAAATCCATTCATAGCCAATCAAATGGTTTTTCATGCTCAAATACGACCCAAGACCTAACATTGTGACTCCACATCCAATAGATGAAATGAAAGTCATTGGTCGTCTGCCATACTTTTTGCAAGCTATACATGATGCTATAGTAACTGCCAAACGTATTAATCCTAATAATACCGCAACCCACCTTTCATTCAATTGAATACCACACATTGCTACAATTTCAACAGCATTAAATGTCATAGGATTTGTTCCTGTCCATTGATAAATGACAAAATAAAGATTTAATAATATAAAAGGTTTCAGTGCATTAGGTTTTATCAATGCAGTAAAGATTTCCTTGAAACCAGTGAGCCTTTTGATATTGTTCTTATTATTGAAATTAGCTAATGTATCTATTTCTTCATTTAAATCGTAAGAAATACTTCTAAATTTATGCAATGATTCTCTGGCTTCCACCGGTTTGTTTACAGACATAAGGTAAGATGGTGTTTCAGGAAATAAGAACATGAGTAGTAAGGCTATTGCAGGTAGTATGGCCATGATACCAGCACACACATCCCATGAGAGTATAGCCCCTAAAGTGTAAGCTATAAATACTCCTGTGGACACTCCAACACTACCCAAAGCAGTCAATGTACCACGTAAATGAGGCTGTGTAACTTCACTGGTGTAAACTCTGGATGGTGCTCCAACCATTCCTGAGCCTAAGCCGGTAAAGAATCTTCCAGCATACACCATGCGCACATCTGATGCACAAAATATCAAAAGCCAACCCAATAGCGCTGGAACTTGAGTAACTATAAGAGATAGTTTTCGACCAAGTATATCCATGAGGTAACCAGAAAAAAGACATCCAATTGGGGTACCAACAGCTGACATACTAGCTGCAAAAAGATTCAATGTATCGTTAGTTATACTTTATCACATTTATGATGAACTTAAGTACTTAAAAATTTGAGTTTATACCTATCCAAGATCCTTCGTACTGATTGACGTGGATTGTGGAAGTACTATTGAGATTTTTCATTTGTGGTAAAGCTATGGCTGAAAAACCAAAAACCAAGCCAGTATTGATGGTCCCTAGCTGGGCAACCAGAGCAGCCAAAATTTGTCGATTGGGGCTGCCTTTTTTGTGCTTGTTTTCAGTCGAAAGATTTTTGTGGATACCATTGGTAATGGGTTGTATAGTTGCATTGCAGTTTTGATCGAATAGGCCAGCCTTCTCGGCATCGTCAAGAGAGACGGTACTTTTACTAAAAAAAATAATCAAGAAAACATTTTTTTTTAAACAAAAAGTTGAAGTCAATTTTCATGAATAATACTATTTATACAATACAAAAATTATCGTTATAGGTAAACTCGTCAATACGATTATAAGTTATGCATAGTTGTAACATCTGGGAAAATGTAAATATGTTAGGAGTCACGTGTGTGGGTTTCTGTGAGTGTTTTCATGCTCAAACACACGATGCAGCGCGCGCGATCCGCATTTCGAAGCATATCATTTGTAAATATTTGAATACATTGCAAGCTCGTGTACACTACAGTTACACACAGTGTACAACGTACTACATGCCGTTTCTTAAAATATCTATTAACGATAACGACTTTGGATATGTATATAAAAGGCACGATGTTATTTTCAATAAAGCTGCGAGTTGCAGTTTTTCATCGATGATTTATTGTGTATGCAATATATAGTTACATAAGGATCGTCGCGCGTTCATAGTCGCGAAAAAAACCGAAAGCAAATTGTGTTTTCAATGTCGCTCTGCCTCCAATTTATTCGGTCGATGTAAAATTTTCTCTCTTTGCGGCAAACGCGATCGGATCAGGCTGCAAGCATTCGATGGATATGCATAGAAAACGATCCGCGCGTAACATTACCGAGCATATCGTGCTGTTGGCTCGCAAGAAGCCGCACTTACTCTAAATCGAGAAGTCAATTCGAGCAGCGATTCCGATCGTTGTATATGTACTTTGGGCGAATTGGTTCGAGATCGATGATATATTTTTCGATAAACTCGTAACTCACGAGTGCTTAGTTTATTATATATTTTTTTTTGCTGCACTCGTTTCAGCGCCACGACTTGTATCGTTTTTGGAGTTTCGATTTACAAGGCAGCAAAGCAATTAGAGCGATCGGCATCAAATGCGGGATTTATAAAATATATCGTATATCACACGCGATATTTGTAGTCTATTTTTGTTTGCATCTTTCCTTGGCCTGTATAATTTGCGCCTGTAATCGCTAAATTAGTTCGAATTAAAACGGATCGTCGGCGACGAATTTATAACTCGAGCACGATCTGCCTATATATCTACCGTATAACTCTTGAAATAGATACAAAGCGCGATAACGATATTATCTCGTTGCGTTTATTGTATTACAAAGGAAAGCATAAAAAACTTTGTTGCCCACGATTTCATAGATAATTATAAAAAGAAAAATCATGAAATTTCTCCAGGTAAAATGGTTTTTACTGCTGATCGGTTCAAAGGAATTCCTCGAGACTCTACAAGATCGCGTCAACTACACAATAGCTCCGCAAGGAAAATGTGTTTTCCGGCGTGCAAAAGACCCAAACAGTCCGTGAACTTGCGTTTAGCTGTCTCGAGCTATCGTGCATCATGCGTGACGCACGTGCACACGCGCTACCAGCGTTCAGCTGCACATTACGGGCATTCGAGCGTACGATTTAAAGCGCGATACTGTCGGCGCGTAAGCGGCAGGCTTCCCACGTGCGCTCGTTTTTCTCTCTTTATACTTTTTTACAGCTCGACACACGGCTCTCACGCACACTGCACCGACATATGTATGCGTGTGTATATGTGCGAAGTGTATACTTCGAGTACAATGTCCGAGAACGACGACGAACGAAGCTGCCGCCGCTGCTAATATGCTGTAGCATCGAGTGCGTTGCATGGTAGTCATGGCCGTCGTACTCGCGGCTGTCAACCGCTTTCAGTGCGTACCGTTTGCCACTCGTCGGATTAAAATTAGACGATTCATCATTAACAGACGAATTTCATCTGTGTTTCCGGTGAGTTGCAATACAGTAGCGAGCATGTGCTTCTTTGATTTCTATGTTAATATGCGAAGCCGCATCGACGTTGCTCTCCGCTTTGATCGTACGATACATTAACTTCGCGATCTGTCCAATTTTATTTGGTTAGGTTATTATGCAGAATTTCTTCGAAATGGTTCGGGCCTATCAGTAAGTTCATTAAGGCTCTCCACAACCTACGACAATTGTTATTGTTTGATGAAGTATCAAGTGTCTAGTTTGTTTAATTGACGTGTTAATTGTCGGTTTTTTTTCATATCAAGATACAGGCATATTATGATACATCACCTTCATTGAAGATGATATTTCACGCAAAATGTTTCAACGCACTGCAACGCAATTAGTTGGAATGGATCAGAATGAACTTGTTTACGATTGAATTGAGCCCCGAGCTCATTTCAATTTTTGTAGCTTTGTTAACGATCGTAAAAGTCCGTTTCTTTGAAAGCAATGATTTCAATGCTCCAAAGCTATTTAACTATCATTTTTTTCGCACGTTCCGTCGACATGCAAAAATTCCAGTCAAAATATTTACGTTTTTCGTACGAATATAGTTCTCTCTTTGTATCCGAAGCTGTGATGCTTCTTATGTAATTTTTTTTTTAAAGGTCAACATCAATAACGAACTAATGAAACATTTTTGGAAAATAGCCAAAGAAAACTGATAAATTTCTTTAAAATTTATCAGACAGGCGCGCGTGTTATCGATACCTGAAAAAAATCCTTGCTTTGTTCCTTTCAAAAGTTTATAATGTACAATGAAAAATTTGTAAACCCATTAGGATAATTTTTCTTAGATTAAAGAAATTGAACTCTGAAATTGTAATACTTGGAGAAGATCAGTCATCGATGAAATTCTCATAAAAATGTCGTGTCAATTTAGTGAAAAACCATCGTCAAAGAGGGAGGCTGATTTTGACAGCAAATGACCAAATCGGTTTAGGAAGTTTTTGGTAAACACTATCACTGTGTGCGTGATTAGAGACCTGTTTCTCCATTAATGTAATCTTACAGTTTTGAATATACATATTTTTTTTTTGATTATCTCACGTTACTTGCATTTATAATTCGTACATAAGCGATCGTTGCGTATTATTTGGCTCGGTATCGGAACAAGTTATTTAATACGTACAACCCACCCGAACTCAACATTCATCATTCGTCAATCATTGCCACTAGTCCGAAGCTCGTCGCAGATAAATAATATTAATAGGCTCATTGCATCACGAGCGCATCAAGTACACGTCTGTGCGTATATAAAAATTAATTATAGCGGTTAAATGTAGGTGTTTATATGTACGTACAGGTGATGCCGAATACAGCATGTGTGTAAGTGCGCACGATACACATTAAATATTGGAAGGTAATGATGAATAGCAGTGAGGCCACCGTTTTCATCATGAATATGCATTTATTCTCTCTTTTAAAGCTGTAATAAATTATCGCTCGAGCACGAGTTTGTATTGCTCATGTACATTTTTTTGTATAAAAGAAAAAAGCACGCACGTTGTTGCAGACTTTTGCAAACGCGGGGATCGTTTTGCTATACTCACAATGATCCACACTATTTAACAAAACGTGCAAAGGAAACACTCTTTTATTTGATCGCAAAAGTGACGTAACCCGAGTGCTTTTTCAATTGAAACTTTTTAAAGTTAAATTGATAATTATCTCGTTGCCTATGGTTTGATGAGTTTGCTGTCTGAATTAATCGTTCCCTCGCGCTTGTTTGTGTGCGTGCGTGTTTACATATTTTTAAAAAAAGTCTAGTTTTGTCTTGTTTTCATGACACATACATTTATCAAGAGGATACAGATATTGCCAAATGACGAAATTTTTTTTTTTAACCGTTTTCGTTGTTTAGCCACGTTCAAAAGCCAATATGCATTTCGGCATTTTCGTTGCCGCGATCAATAGCAACTTAAACGAGTTACGTCAACCTTACATAAAGTAAAAATAAAATGCATAGATTCGTTTATGAATTTTGCTCGGATAGCATAAGCATCAAATTGACCTCAGCGTCTAGAGGCACGTACACACGCGTCTATATAGCTTTTCTATTGTGAGAAATAAAAGTTGATTCGCGGAAAGTTTTGCATTTGCTCCGCACGACCTCGCGATGTATCTCTCCGTTCAATTTCGTTTCAACCTCTTTCTTCACAGAGCTCGAGAGAGAGAGAGAGAGAGAGAGAAGACATTTTTAGTTTCTATAAATAAAAGTTCACGAGAATGTTGGAAGTTTCTCTCTCTTGCTGGTTGCGCTTGCGAGGCACGAGACTCGGGAGAGGAGCGATTCGCACGCACGGCAGCAGCAGCCGCACTTGTACGGAAAATCGGAAAAAGCCAGGCAAAATATCGACTGGATCGCACGCGCCTCGGTCATTGTTTATTGCGCACGTCGTGGAGAGCATGCCTTTATATAGATCGGGTAAAAATGCACCCAGTGACACGTACAGTGAGCGACGACAAACTGTTGCACAAACAAGCGTACTTTTAATATATGGACAGATAGTTGGCGAGAGTTGACCAGGCTTTTGCGAACGATTACCGCCTGTGTGTATCACGAAAAAAAAAACGCCGACTGCGGCATTGTCGTGAATCATGGACACAAAACATATACGCAGATACGCGGGTATCCATGCATTATTTGCTCCTGCTGTTTTACGTTAAAATCGAGCGAGTTCTCAAAAGCTACGGCTAGTCGATTTTCGAGCTTGAGTAGAAACTTGCCACGATGTCTCGATTTCTTTGAGAAAATTCTGATGGACCGACTTGTTTTTTAGTCGATATTAGCGTGGTCATTATGTATAAAGTAAGCAGTAAAGCTCTTGGTAAAAAAACAACAACAACGTGAGCAATTTTCGATGCTAAAAGAATTATTTATGTAAGAAAACTGCGAATTTCATGCTATTTAAACTTGGGTAATCAAAATGTAATTTACTAGCTTCGATTTGAAAAGGTAAGGCGGAACGATCGGCTATTTAAACACTTGTTGTATGCGGGAAAGGTGCCAATTTATATACCAACGCCTCGAGATGATTCCGCACGAAAAATCTAGTATCGGTCGGTTTTTTCTTTCTCGAATGGCCGCAACTCGAGAAAAAATGAGCGGAACGAGCGATCGAAAATGAGAAAAGCTCTCTAGAAAAGTGAACAAGAGCGAGCGAAAGATGAAGGGCGATGATGAAGGGCGATGATGACTGATGAAGCGGGACGATAGTAGCAGCTGAGAGAGAGAGAGAGAGAGAGAGAGCCAAGAGAAGAGGTTTACTCACTCGGCCTTAGCCATAGCGATAATCGGTGGCTGCTGCGGCGTCGGCGGCGGCGGTGGTAGCAGCAACGGCTATTCGGATCGTCTATTAGCGTGGGCAGTTGCGCAGGGAGCGTGTCGGATGTAGTGGATGGTGGTCGTGGTCGTCGGTGGTAGCGACGTCTCGATCAGCAGCAGCGGTAGCAGCATCGGTAGCAACGGCAGCATCGGCGGCGGCGGAATAACGTTTTCGCGTATCATCACGCCGCGGCAGTCGATCGTTGATAATCACAGCAGCAGTAGTCGGTAGTAGTCCGTAGTAGTCCGTAGTAGTCCGTAGTAGTCCGGGCAGCCGAGTGTGCTTTGCTCTGAACGCTGTCACGACAGCAGCGCGCACGACAGCTATATGCATACGCGAGCGATCGGAGCTTTTTGCGCTTGCCAGCTGCAGCTGCTGCTACAAAGGCGGGCAAAAAACAAAAGAGTCGCGAGCGCAACGCGACTAGACGTGTCGTATAAGTGCGTGCGTAACGTGTGCGCGCTTTTGGTGCTGCTGCACGATCTGAACACCGTCGCTACAGGCAGCGCGAAAAAACAGCGCGCACGCTGATTAACGAGTCGCGCGCGACAACATACCGACACACACACAATAGTCAACAATGACAATGACGATATAATGGCGATACATGCAGTTATAGAGAGCAACAACGGCGAGCAGTCGGCCAGCGCGTGCAGCAGCGACCGACTCGACACGGCATTGTATAATTGCTTCGCATGTTCCGCGTGTACGACACTTGCCGCGTGCACTTGTGCGCGCACGTCGACTCGCGAGCCCGCTGCAGTGTACTGCTGCTGCTTTCGAGCGCGCGCGAGCGAGCTTTCGTCTCGTACGTATATATACTGCACTGCTGCCTGCACTGCACGACTTCGGCCTATACTGCCTATACTCTCTTCGGCCACATTAAATATCGATAGCGCCGAGCGGTCTGCTCGTCTCTATGTAAATTGTCGACGACGCGGCGTGCGTCTCTCGAGCTCTTGTGCACAGCCTGATCTTGGCTCTCTGCTGCGCTGGCAAAGCCCGAGCTTTTCTGCTGCTCTATATGTGTGCATCGGAGCTGCACAGGCCTAAGCGCTCACTTTTTCATCTTTATTATCTATATCGCCAATTTCATTCTTTATATATGCCACAATTATAATTGTGCATTCAACTTGAGCCTAATACAAATAGTCTATTTCCGTCCGAGAGACTTCTTTGTTTTTTGCGAGCCACGAAAAAATCCTAGCTACGTCGAGTGCCTCCAAATGCAATTAACTTATCAATTATATCTCTTTTCATTTTTATTTTCTCTCTTAACAACTTAGCTATACAAATATAATAAATCATTTAGTCCTTTTTATTTTATAGTTAATAATAAACTTTCCGTAATTATTAAGTATTTACTGGACATTCTTTTTCAACACCCTACAAATTCTCTATATTTTATATTATCATTTGATTTTAAATCATTTTCGAATGTGTCATTTCGTTGGTCTATGCATCGTGCGAGTAAAACAAATTACCACTGTCCATGATAATTTTTATCAAATTTATTTTAACTTTTATTAATGTGTATGAATACAGTGCTTTCGAATTTTAATTACAGTCAAAATATTGTCATTCTTAATATCAAATTATAACATTTGAAATTATTACTTATTTGAAATAATGAAAAAATATCTAAACGCTGGGTAAGACCTGATCAAGTTGGTTTACTATCTAAAAAGAAAACTACAAAATTAGATTTCATTTTTCAAAACTAGCCATCTCAATTTTTACTTATTTATTCTACTCTCTTCCTTACTTTTTTCGACAAAACTAATAATCATAAAAGTTGCTTATAAAAGAATGATTATAATAACTTTAATGGATTAATCAGTTCAATTTTATAGAGAAATCGTCAATTTCAAATCTTTTCCTAATAATAGTGATAATAGTTCTTTTGATATCAATAGTGTAAAAAATAATTATCCATCACGAGTTCTCATATCGAATCTAATGTACTTTTATAATCTGACATTTACAGTTTCAAATAAGCCATAGGAATATAAAAAAGGTAATGCTGTAATTTTTTTTATCGAACGATCGATTTCGTTTGAGCTATAGAAATAAAATGGACTTGAAGGAAAATTAAGATATAGACACTTTAATGTGTGGCCAGTCTATTTTAAACATCAATACAATTACCAGAACATTAGTGGAGCATAAGTAGTACCGTTATTAGCAGCATATCAATATTATTAATCTGTTTAATGATTAATAAAATCAATAGATAGTTCTATTAATAGTTACTTAAAAAAATTATTGTTGCTCATGAACAAAAATTTTTGTTCGAAACACTTGCTCTAAAAATTTATGAGACTTAAAAATTCAACTTGGAAGATAATCATGTAAAAAATATGGAAAAAAAGTAAAAATGATACAGAATTTTAATCTCTTATCGGGCACCTTTTTTCTGAACTTTTTAGTACTTTATAATTTTGACATTAGTTTTTTTTTGTCTTGAACAAGATAAATTACCTCGATTATAAATTATTCCATATACTACATTGAGACTTTCTTTTTGCGAATAGCAACTATTTTTTATTTTTGCATTAATATTATTGTTTCTTACGCTAAGCTAAAATAGACTTGCCACTTTAATTAATTTATTTTAAGCTATTGCTAGACAAAAAGTAATTATGGTGTTTGGACGGTAGAGCACTCAAATTTGGTTTGAGCTGTCAGCGTTAGCTGAAAAACAATTTCTACACTCGTTGAAAACCAACTATTTGTAATTTTTATTCAAGTTTTATTTTAATTTTAATCGATAAAGAACGATAATAATGTCTACAAGCTTGCAAGATTGAATCCGTTAAATTATCTAACAGTTTTATAAACTGTATCGATGAAATTTTATGAACAATTTTGATAATAATGGAAAATCTTAAGTTTAAGTACGTAGCTCTGTACTTGGTGTAATCAAAGCTAAAAACTTCCAGATTGTTTGATTTTCGCGCGCACATACGAGCTTATCAATTGATCTGAGATAAGACTATCAGGTGGGTTAATAGTTGCGGCCTCAATGTGCACCTCAATTGCACTATCTAGCCAATGCTGCTCACTTTCAATTATCATCAGCATTACGACTGACACTAAACGTCATCAGCTGTGGTACTGCATTGGTCACTTTTATCGATTAATTTCGTATACGTTTAAGATCGAGAGATAAGTCGATTGTTATAATATATCTTGACGATTCGCAGGCGTTATGTCTGAAGTACCGAGAAAAGGTGTATACAAGAAAAATTTCAAGCATGTGCAAACTCACTCAGAAGACGATCCACTGCGGGTTAATTCCGTGGTACTCGAGCTCGGAAAGGTCTGATAGTTTCGAATACTAGCCATCTTGGCGGTTCAAACTACTGTGCTTTGTAGACAGAAGTTGTTTCACGCGGACATCTGGTCGCTTAGATTAAAATGTTTTCCGGCCCTTATCGGCTCTCAGTCACGAGTCTGCATTATCAGAGACAAGTCATGTGCTACGCGCATTATTTGCAATTTTTTTTGCATTCAGAATCGCACAAGACATACTAACCATTTTAAACACGCGCACGCTCTTCTCTTTTGCTCTCTTTTTCTCTGAATTTGCAGTCAATCGCTCTCTATCTCTGTCTTTATAAATGCCGTTCAAAACGATGACTGTTACACTTTCGGATTGTTGAATTTGAATCATTACAACTTTGTTTATCATTGTGCATCGACATGTACATGATTTATTATGATCATCGTAAACAATGTCGTAATACATTTGTTTAGCAAAAGATTAGCTAAAGCGTGAAGTTAACTTCAATTATTTGTATGTTTTACCATTTTTATTGGATCTAAAGCCTTCAATGTTTCGAGATTAATGCAATTTTAGTATGAATATTTTATCTTTTGCATACGAATCATAATGCTGTTGATTTGATAAGGAAACATACAAACACAATTGTAAAGCATACTAAGAGCTAAACAGTAATCAGCAGACAAAATTCCATAAAAATGTCAAAGATAATAAGACCAAAAATTACTATTTTTTATCACTGAAAACGAATATTGGTTACAAAACTTATACTTATAAATAAGATAAAAATAAATAAAATTCATAGGAAATAATTAACATTAAAAAGAAGTAATTAGTAATTTTTACTTCAAAATCTGAAAAAAAATCTCGTGTGAAATTGATCATTTTTTTCATTTATATGAAATATTTCATTTTTACAAATTTTATGTAGTTAATAGTCAAACCATCTATTACCTAATGGTATACCTAAGGCTCGTTCAGTTTTTACGGTGGAAATATTTTTACAGGCATTAACTTCGAAAATCAACATTAATCTTGCACCGAACATTGAATTCGACCATACAAAATTGTCTGGTAGGATAAAAATAATTTTTTAAAGGACTCTTGGAAATTCTTGAAGATTTTTTCATAGCCACTTTGCCAATTGAAGAATAGCTGATAAATGTGCTCGCCATTTAGTGGTAGATGCTTAAAGTAGTATTATCGTATGCAAAGTGAATGAAAACTGGTCTAAATTTTTCGAAACAGATAAATTGTCATCTTCGAGTTATTTAAATGCACTTAATATTTTTAGTACATTAGTAACAAAAAATCGATAAAAACGAGTCATTTTATACAATCTATTTTAAATGGCCATTTTTTGGCAATTGAGCCATTAATAATGCTGAGCGTTTTTACCATATCCTCAGATGCAATTTGAGGTGCGAATCAAGCTCCCCGAAGAATCCTACTTAATTATCACGAAATTTTAGCAAATGTTAAGTAAGTGCAAGAGCATTGACAGAGCTTAGTGGATCAGCAAACATAGTAATTAAGAACACAGTAATTAAAAAAACACAAACACTACACGTTTATATCATTTGTCGAAATATTAAACAGTATTATTTAAAACTTTTGAATTAAAAACTTACCTTAACAATGATACTAGAATTTATTCGTTTTAAGGTAAATTTAAGCTGAATACATTTTTAATAATTTTTCAAAATTTAGTAAATTGTTGCATAAATAACAAAGAAATAAAAAGCTATTGATGATGTTAAGTTTTCTAAGTACATACATAAGATTATAGTTCGTCGGCGTGTAATAAATATTTTAAGCAAAATTCACAATGAAAACTATTGCAAATATACTTGTCTTCTTATAAAAACGCCTTATCAAATGGTTTTCTTTCTTATTTGTTTGAAAAATAATAACATATACGTAACTAAATATGCGACGCAATTTGAATAGTATATGCTCGAATGTAAGTTGCCTATGAAATGGTATGAATTTCGTATGACACAGATAGGAAGCCCTAAACATCGACATGTGTTTGTATACTTCAAAAAGGTTTCTCCGGAACCTTTTCCGCTTTAAGAAGATTACAAACAAACTTTTAAGGTCAAGATTCATTCAGTTGTCGGATATTTACTATTCGGAACAGTAGTGTACATAATAAATTTCACCTAATTTCAATGATTAATTGATTGATTGATTTTATTGGATTTGATGGCATGCTGATCGAGCCATTAACGAGCAATTACAACTAAAGTGTAATTTTAAATTATTAATTTAATATGTTCGCATATCGAAAATCAAAATCACTTGACAATATTAATACATCCAAATGGAATGTTATAAAGAAATATCTAGATCGAAAAAATTCACTTCAAATTTTTCCAAAAATTCAAAATAACTTAGTAAGTTTTAAACTATTTAAAACCCTTTTGGTGTGACCATTGATTGTATGATATTAGAGTTTATCAACATTGGAAAATGAAATCATTAAATAGTTAAAATAATTAGGAAATATTTTTTTCAGGAATGCAAGAAGACATCCGAAAATAAAACTAAAGGTTTGCCAGGGCAGGATGATTCTATTAATTATTATCCGAATGTGGACACATCTATTTGGATGCGTTCATGCGAGCAAGAAGTTGTGGAGCCGATGTCAGGTACCCTTACAGGGTATATTCCCGACTGGCTGAAAGGTACACTTCTGAGAAATGGACCTGGATCTCTTAAAGTTGGGGAATACAGATTTGATCATCTTTTTGATAGCTCTGCTCTACTGCACAGGTAAAATTTAAATGGGCATTATATAAAAGCAAACATCTATTTCGTATGTTTGATACAATTATTTTCCTACTTCCCTTAAAAATTATTTGAGTTATGCCAAATATTTGAATAAAGATTTTCGAACATTATCATTAATGTTGAATACGGTAAAATGAACAATGAATTGTTTATTTTTTGAAGATTTAAAAATATTGAAGCTTTCATAAAATTAAAAATAAAAGAAAATGTCATAATTTTATAAATATCACCAAAAAAGACTCATGGTAACATAGCTTATGCAGATTTTTGGAAGTTTGTAATGTTGCAATACATTTGTAATATTTAATATTTAATATTTATTAATATTTATTATTTGAGGCTAAGGACTTAAGTCCAACGTAGCCCAAGGCAACAATACAGTAATATATCAATACATTTTTAAATTTAATTTAAAGAGTATTCATACAACATTTTCAGGTTTGAAATTAATAATGGAAAAGTAACATATCAAAGACGATTTATCCAAACTGATGTTTTCAAAAAAAATCAGGCTGCGAAAAGGATCGTAGTCACCGAATTCGGAACAAGGGCCACTCCTGATCCATGCCAAAGTATATTTGAACGGTAAGTTAATATTTGTTTAATAAAAAGCATGTACCAAATAGTTTGCAGATGTAACTATGTCGATACAGCCTATCCGGTATTATGAAGAAAGGGTGCTTAGTTGTAAGAACTGACATATGGAGGTGATAAGCTTTTGTTAAATAGCTTCAAATAAATATCAATAATATCAATTTTAAAATAATTTAAAATCAGTTCATAAACTTTTTATTTTATTTATAGTACGATGATTATGAATTTGAGTAATTACCATGGGACCATAAAAAAATATTAGCTACGTGCCGTAAATATCACTTTATAAACCGGACCTAAAAACACTTACTAAATAACCTTAGCAAAAATACTCCAAATTATAAATAGGCTAAGGAAAAAAAATTATCATTAATATGTTTATTTTGTAAGTATAAGTTTTTGTAGATTTTTCTGTTACAATTATGATACCAAAATAAAGAGCATTCTAAATTATCAGAAAATGACAATTTATCTGGGTCAAAAAATTCAACCACTATAAATATGATAATACCACTTTAAACGTTTAACATAAGATGACGAGTGCCTTTATTTGTAAATCTGCAAGGGGCAAAGTAAAAGTAATTGTACAAGTCAAAGCACGATCAATGAACACATTCACGGTTCACTGCATTTGAATATTTTTGACAGATGATAATCTTTCTCGGCAACTAAAATCGAACTGAACTTTCCTGCCAGTAAAATTTTTAATTATATTTGGAGCTTGGTTAGCAAGCAATACAAAATCATGTAATGTATATTCACTAATCACTGCTGAATTTAATGAAACTTCTTGACAAGTTTTTTGTTTACCAAAAACTAGCCGTAAAATGTTAAGCATTCTTACCAGAAATATGTGCCGATTTTTTTGCTTATGACCTTGAGAATGAGTGGAAGGTAGCAGTAGTGGAAATAAGTGTCGTCAAAATAAAATAAACGGTCCTCCTACGTCATTATATTTTTATATTTTTAGAGTATCTGCAGCATTCCACCCAGCTGAGAATCTTTCGGACAATTCCATGATATCAGTTTATCCATTTGGTGATGAATATTACACTTTCACAGAATCTCCTGTAATTCATCGTATAGATCCAAAATCATTAGAAACTATAAATAAGGTATTGAATTTTACATTTTGTACACTTTACTCATGAGTTATCAAAATCTTTTTATACTGCGTTTATAATGAAACCGATATAATAATATTGATCAAATTTATCTTTACATAGGTCAATGTTGCAAATTACGTAAGTATAGTAAGTCATACATCACACCCTCACGTTATGAGTGATGGAACAGTATATAATTTGGGTATGAGTATAACTAAAAAAGGACCGGCATACAGCATTGTTGAATTTTCACCATTTCACTATACCGCGGGTGAGAAATAAATAAGTGAACCAACATACCTATACAGTTTTCAATCTTATACTAAATCTACCTTTGTTTTTTAGACGAAAAGAGAAAAAAAAGGAAAATTTCCATGTTTGATGAAGCCAAAATTGTATCGACTGTACATTCCAGATGGGTTTTGAACCCCGCATACATGCATTCATTTGGAATAACAGACAATTATTTCATAATCATCGAACAGCCATTAGCTATAGCTCTTGTATCAATGGTTACTTGTCAAATAAAAAATGAGCCAATGTGTGGATGCCTGAAGTTTCATGAAAACGAAAATGTAATATGGATTTTTTCTTTATAAAAACGTTTTATATACTTCCTACTACCGTTAATGTAAGAGATCTTTACAATCAGTATAATCATTAAAAAAAATTTTTTCAGACCCACATTCACCTTATTTCTCGAAAATCTGGAAAAATTGAGAGAACGTTTATTGCAGAAGGATTCTTTTACTTGCACGTCATCAATCAATATGAAACTAGAGATGGAGGATACGTTGTTTTAGATTTATGTTGTTATAGAGATGCGAAAATGTTAGATTGTATGTACGTTGAAGCCATGGAGGTACATCTTTTCGTTTAATTATGCTAGAATTTTATTACTTACTATGAAATTCTAAAATAACTGTTGACTTCAAATATTGAAAGATTATAGCAAATATTTTTTAAGATTTTGAATATTTTTTGTAATCATAATTGTTTATTTTCTCAGGCATCAAAGAATAGTTAAAAATGTTTATCTCTTTAATATATAAAGAAATCTATCCAGTTCTCTTGCTTCAAAAATCAATTAATATAACTTCAAACTATACTAATAAAAAAATAAGTAAGAATATTACCATAAATTTGCTAGAGTTTGCTGCAAAAATTGAATGACTCTTGTTGCAAATTTTAGCGTTTCTTGACGCTATCCAGAGTAGAAAAATGAAAAACCTTTAGAAAAAATAATGAGTATAAAGTAACAATTGAAATAATTATTATATTTTTTGGAAACAGAACATGCATAAGAATCCAGATTATTCAAATCTATTTCGAGGAAGACCACTTCGATTTATCTTACCATTGAAAACTCCTGACGATCAAATTTCGTCTGATACTAATTTAATTACAATCAATGATGTATATCAAAAATCTGATACATTTGACGATCGATTGAATATGTCAAAATTAACAAAAGAAAAAGGGATCAGTAATGACGGTGGTGACAACAATTCAGTAGAAGAAAACTTTTTAAACAAAAAAGCAGCTGCTTACAAATTACCAAATGGCGAAATTTTTGTTAAACCAGAGTTGCTTTGTGACTTAGGATGTGAAACGCCTCGAATAAACAATAGTTTACACTTGGGCAAAGAATATAGATATTTTTACGCAGTTTCCAGTGACGTTGATATAGAAAATCCTGGAACTGTACGTTATTTTTTATTCAATCCTATGGAACGTTAAAAAGTAAAATAATCATTGAAAACTCTTCATTTCAGATAATCAAAGTAGACACTAAAAACAAAACCAAAAAAATTTGGTCTGAAAAAGGAATATACCCCAGTGAACCCATTTTCGTTCAAGATCCTAATAAAAAGGTGCGTGCCTTTCAAATTGTTTTGCCAGAATTATCAATTTACAAGAAATAAAATCAATGGATATAAAATTTTCTTTCGAAACATGTTGAGTGCAAAATGTTGTAATAACAATTAATCATGTTATGCTAATTTGATTCTCGTATTGTGGAATACACGAGATCGATCCAATTTCGGTTTTCATTTAATTTTACACCGTATAATTGAGAGTTGAGTGTAGGAAAACAATTTTTGATGTTTTCAGAATGAAGATGACGGCGTCGTGTTGAGTGCACTTGTCTGGGGTCAAGAGAGGGAAACAACTGTCGGACTTTTGATTTTGGACGCGTCATCTTTTGAAGAAGTGGGCAGAGTCGTATTTGACACACCTGGCCCCGTTCCTAAATGCTTACACGGATGGTTTTGTGATCTTGTTTCTTAATATTTTATATTAACTAATAGAGTGCATATGACGTATGCGTAATCCGAAAAAATCAGCTTGAAATAAATGTTGAAGAGACAACGAATAGACATCAACAAAAGTACAGCAACGCTGCTTTCAACTAATAAGGATATCTAGTTTTTATACATCCACAAAAAAAGATATATTTTTAGAGAGTTTTATTTACAAAGTCCCTACAGCAAATATTACTATAATTATTATTAATGTTATTATTATTATTTTCAAATGATTTGTATTAATTTTCAATCGTTTAAGAATAATAAAATAATCATGATCTTTTATATTTTTATCTTTTAATGAAACATTTCTAAAACAATACAGACTATTTACAAATAGGATTGAGAATAGTACCTCAGAAACTAGAGTTTGGTATCAGTAATATTTCAGATGACTACATTTTTCTTACTTTGGATGGAATGTAAAATATTCTTATAAACATGCGTAAAAATGTATAATATATTTGTCCATGCAAAAATTGAGCGAAACAAATATTATGGTAGAACTAAAAAGAAATCTTCAAACTTTATTTAATACGTGTTTGAATTATTGGATGCTTATGAAGATTTATCTATTAACGCAATAATTATAATTAAAATTAAAAATTTCGCTAATTCATCTTAGATATTTAAATACAACTTTACTGTATTATCAGTTCAATAGTTTTAAAAATTGATTCTCAAACATTTTCTTCTATTTACAACATAGACCATAAGACGTTTGAGAGGTTCTATTTTTCGTAGATGTAACTTGAGATTTTCATTATTCGTTTTTACACTTATACAAGCATGCCAGTTAAGAAATTTTCTAACGAGATCTTACGTAAAATTCAAGCTTAAGAATAAGTTTTAGAAATGAAATTTTAACTTGATTTTTTATAATTGTTGTATCCACTTAATAATTTAAAATATATTTCTTGTAAGTGCGCGTAAAACCTTGCTTGCATGTTTAAAAACGTGTCTTTAGCATAACTATGGATATGTAGACTGACACGTTTAGCCACTTATTTTGAATAATGCAAAACATCTATAGAATAGTTCAATTACTTTTTATTCGTAAAGATTCCGTAGTTATTATAAAAATGAACATTTTCAACGGAATTTTATCCTTTTTTTTTCATAAAGATTTGAAAGCAATAAAATAAAAATTTCCTCGAAAATCATTTATGAAGTTATCAGTAAAAACATAAATTAATTTTGATTACAATTTTATTTATATAATAAGAGTATCTTCGCAACAGTATTGAATTAAGTACGTATAAATCAGGGTTTTAAACAGATGTTGGTAAGAGTTTTAAAATATTTGAGATTCTGTTCAAAATGGCGATAATCAAGAAATTTACTTTCGTGAAATTTTGACAAAAGTATTTTCGTTTACATTTCAAGTATTAAAATATTCAAATTATGAATAATGATCATTTAACTTATCGCCCAAATCGTTATTTTGCCCGAATCGTAAGTCAACGAAATGCTGTCAGTCTACATTCGAGCATGCTCATTTATAACTCTATTCTTTTTTCATAAAAATATTTTTTTAAAAATTTTAAACAACCATTTTCGTCATTATGCAAGTGTCATTTTTATGACGGATAAAATAAGTCATTAATATGACTGACAATTAATAAAAATTTTCCGTGATTTTGTATAAATTGAAAGATACCATTCAAGTTTCACGGATTTTCTCTTAAACATAACAATTTTTTGGATAAAAATACGAAGTTTCCATCGTATATAACAATGCGTGCTATGCAGCAGCAGTAAAATGAAGGACATTACTGGCTAGGGTACAAACACTGGCCACGTTTTGGCGTGACTATCACAATTATATTATTTCATATATTTGATCCCTGAAGCGATGTGCACTTGTAAATAAGTCACTCGAGAGCTCGGCGCAGCAGTATCAGACTGTTTCGATTTTATTCAAGTCATCGGTATTCGGTGGTATTGTAATGACCGCGGAACCCAATTGATTTTTGACCGACGAGTCGATCGACGATTCCACATCGCTACTCCTGGTCAGGCTAGCCTCCGAAGCGGTCGTATGGGTATTCTCGCCACTGGATTGCGCCGGTAAAATGCCAGCGTTTGCGTCTTCAATAGCTTTCCGCAACTGGGAAAAAATAATGAGTGATAAAATTAGTTTGTCGATACAATCATGGAAAATCTATCTATGCACGTAAATTAATTCTTACTTCTTTCAAACCAACGACACCCACAAGTCGACCAATAGCGGTCACGTAAGCGCGATTCACGCCAACCATGCTAAAAAGACTGTGGACTTTGAGCAATGATGTTCTTTCGACCAATTGAAACGGTGCTGGGTCGATATGGATGTGTGAAAAGTCGACTTCCAATGCCATTTCCTGTTCTTCCCACCGCTTTTGGTCTTCGGGAGACATATCTATTACTCTTTCACGTGGCTGCATAGATAATTTAAAAGATTATGAATTATTCATGAATAAGAAATCAATCGACGTAATAAAGTCAAAAAAATTACCAATTGAACTTTTTTTGAAACGGCGGGGCTTGGAGTAAGCATTGGTTGCATAGTACCGTCTATACTCTCTCGACGATTATTCGTAATACCAGCTTCGCCGAGCTCAGGGTCTGGATCAACATCCTGAAGGGTTGCAGATTTACGGAAAATTGCCTCGAATGCTAATCTTATCCTAAAATAATACCATTTAATGTTATTTTCCTCGCAGTAAATATACTGAAGCAATTTAATTTGGTAGCGATATTACAATGAAAATCTAGGGTAATACGGGGTTTATCTTGTCTCACACCATAACGATATTATAATTGATGCTACGTTTAAGCGAAAATGTTGCCTCTATCGTAGCAGTTTTGACATTTTTTCTAATTCAAGCTGTTGCAATATTATAAGTTTAGCCTGTCTCTTCCGTAGTGCGTTTCGTTCACCTCAAATTCCTTTCTTTCAATTTCACATTTCTTTGATTCAAGTATTCAATTTATGAGGACTATCTCACCTGCTTTCAGCTCCAGTGACGGTTGTGTAAGGTGTCACAGATGGGCTGATCAGTGGACTAAAGCCTTTGAGGGTGAATGAGTTAGTCTTTTTGAGAATTGACTTTTTCGGTTGAGTGCCAAATACCGGCGAATGAAACGTGTGCTAAAAGTATTCATCAAGTTAAAAAAAATTTACGCAAATATTATTTCCATATAGTTTTTTCAAGGCCAAGTAAATATTACGTGATCTATTCCATTGCCTGGTGACATTGTCAAATCATTGACACTCTGGCGTTGCATTTTTAAAATATCAGGAGCTGGAATTACTTCAAAACGCGATGGTCTGCGTGCTCGTTCTTGCTCTTTAATTTGTCTTTCCAGCTCTTCTTTCGCTCGTTCTTCTGCTTCTTTATGAAGTCTTTGGGCAACCTAGATATTTCATCAAAATTTATTTATACATTTTAAGGCTTTTTTTATAAAAAGCTGTCTAAAATTAACCTGTAATCTTCTTTCTCTTCCTATATGCTTTTCTATAAGTTTGATTAGTTCAAGTCTTTGAATGGACCCTAACAATATCATATTATCAGGGCTATCAACCAGCGGCAGTCCCCGAAGTTTTCTATTTTCTTTGAGTACCTCCTTCAGCTTTTGATATGATATTCCATGCCAAATATGTTTGACATCCCTTATCATAAAATCTTCGACATAAATATTGTACATTCCTGAAAAATCAAAACTGTAACAAATCTATCGAAAGTTCATTCCCGTACGAATGATGCTATTCCTTACCCCTAATATCCAAATAATTATTGTAAAGCGAAAAAAATGTGAAAATATAGTTATAAAAATTATGAGAGCAATTGGTTATAGAAAAAAAGTTCAACGATTGAATCAGATCGATACAAAGATTAACTTTTCTACTCAAGTGCAGGCGACAAAAAAAAAATAAATAAAATACAATACCTGAGCCAGACGGCAAGAGGTCCGGTAGATAAGGCAGCTTCTTGATCAGTATGATGCTGTCGTATATGCTCGGCTGCAACAGGGCCGCCACGGCATTGGCGATGAGCACGGCTATCATCATTGGCACGATGTGCGTGATCTGACCGGTCATTTCGAAGATTATCACGCTCACCGATATAGTGTGGGTGACGGCACCGGAAAAAGCCGCCGCGCCGACCGTAGCGTAACCACCTGCAGTGCGCAGCCAACATTAGAATTTCGAGCACGCAAACGATTACGAAATATGCGTATAATTCTATCTAGGTATATAAATTGACGGCGCACGCGTGAGTGACGCAATTTTATAATAATAATGCCTTCAAGCTCGCTCGCTATATCTGTTTATAGAAGGGTGACATGTGTAGGATAATGTGATTACGCACCCGGTACAATTGGCGTTATTATGCCTCCGTATCGAACGCCATTTGGAAATTGCAAAGCCATGGCTTCGCCGATCGCCCTACCCAGAGCGGCTCCTATCTTGAAAACTGGAATGAATATGCCTGACGGCACAGGTACAGTTGAACTGATGATTGAAAAAATAAACTGCAAAACACACAAGCACGTAATAATTATTATTGTATAAAAGATACGTCGATTGTTCAACAAAAAAGAAAACAAAATTATTCTTACCGTATAAGCAGTAAAACTTAAAAGTCCGACGAATACGTTAGTGCTCTCAGTCGACCAGTGCTTAACTACATTTCTCTCCTCGACATTCAAATCTTCTTTGGTCCACGTAAAATTAGTGAAAAGCCCGTGCACTTGATCGTGAGTGTTCAAATCGCCGGCCATGAATTGGCCGAGACCCAGAGGAAACGAAATAGAGGACACCAGCAGCGAAACAATGCCAGGGTACAAGAAGCGACTGTAAATTAGTTATTTTTCATTTATTTTGGCTTACTATTATGTTTTAAGTGTATTCAATTAAGACCCTACTATTCGAATCTAAAAGCAATGTTCAGTGAATTATCGTCGAATTTTTCGAACGGTTCATTATTTTTATGAATATGCTACTTCATGCCTTTAAAAATAAAATTGAAAATTGAAAAAGTAAATTTTTACAATACGCTCGTTAGAAAAAAGCGAGGAGAAAATAAACACATTGCGAAACACACGAAATGTCTTACTTCTTTTGCAAAAAGCGATTCATGCTCTTGTTTTTGCGCATGAATATGACGTACTGTCTGTGGAGCCAGACATAGAAGGCGCCCAACGCCCCACTGACGAGCCCAATGACCGCGAAAACGAAGAGCTCTTGCGGATCGAAGGGAAAGTCCATGGTGAAGTTGGTGATGAACATGGCCGTTATGGTCTCCTCGCGTTGGAACCAAATGGCCAGCAGCCTGAACATGGTGGCGCCGCAGACGGCGGCGAAGAAGCCTCGCCAGTAGTTGCGCACGGCGAAGTAGACGGTGGTTACCTCGATGCTGAAGAGGACACCGCCGATCGGGGCGGCGAAGCACGAGGCGACACCCACGGCGCAGGCCGCCGCCAGCATCTCGCCGTTTCTGCTCTCGTTCTCGTAGATGCCGTTGAAGCTCGTCACCATCTTGGACAGCAGTGTGGCGACTATACTTGCTATGTGCACGAACGGACCTATCGACACACAGAGGCATTGATTAATTAATTATAATCGTGCGATCGATCGAAGAGCTCGCGAGCACTGACCTTCCTTGCCAACGGGCAGACCCGATCCGAGGGTAGCCGTCAGTCCGATGACTTTGGCGATGAGTGTGCGGAACGTGAGGTACTCTTTCAGAGCCACGCCTCTCAGGATGGTCTTCATCTCGGGTATTCCGGATCCGATGCTCTGGGGAGCCACGATGTGGACGAAACCGGCGCTGAAGAGTATCAGACAGACGGGCAGTACGACCCACGCCAAATACTGCAACGCCTTGTGAGATGTGAGGTCCTGATACAACCATATCCTGGCTGGGAAAAAAGTACGATCATTGAAGGATATTTAACCAGTTCGTTTAGAAATATTGTTTTGATTAGTCCTTGTGAAAAATTGCCATTAGATAGAAATGTAGTATAAGTTAAGATGTATCAAATCGCCGCGCGCAGTAATCAAGCGCCGAAGTGACAAACTGACCGTTATTGCACATGGATATTCCTCGGTCCATGGCGTAGCTGATGAGGGCCATGATGACGCCGAGCAGCGCCAGGAACACCCAGTCCTCGCCGAGTCGCGCGCCGGTGTGCTTCCATATCACTGCCAGCAATGACAGAAACTTGCGACATAGCGGTCCGCGTCTGGTCTTGCTGAGCTCCTCGACGCGTACCTTGTCGATGTTCTTGCGAGCCAATCGTTCGCGTCGAAGTTTGCGGGCCTCTTCCTTTGCGTATTCGCCGAGATCCTTGGTGTAGCGACCATACATCTGCGTCGCGAGCATAAAAACTCATCGTTAGGCATTGCTTCGTGGATTAATATATTGGTATGAAAGGAGATTTAGATGAAAGTAAGCAAGGTTGCATCTTGATTGAAGCTTGTCAATCAATTTTTCAAGAGCTGAATTTAATTTTTTTTTTGCCTTTTTTTCTTAATGACGAAGTTTGGAATATTAATCATATCGATGATATTAAAAAAAAGGTACACGGTCAGAATTCGTTAAAAAACTAAGGGAAACTAATTCACAAATCTTAAAAAATCTCTAGCCATTTATTCAACATTTTCGACCAACTTAACTTTTTCGAATGGCACGGTTAAATTTTTTTTTAATTTTCAACGGAGTGAAAACGTTTGTTTTTTGAGCATATTAACGCTCAAGAATAGAATTAATTTCTAAAAATCTTTGATGATTTTTCCTGAATTTAAGTCAGAAAATTTTATGATACATTTTTGTTGAAAAGCATGATCAACTTCAAGAGTGTACTATTAAAAAAACTTCAAATTTAACTCAGATTTCAAGTAAAATAAAACATTAAAATTAAACTAATTATTAATTAGGTACTTTTATATGAAATATTTGTTAAAAATTTATGTATTAATACTCGTTTATTTTTTTACATTAACAACATAAAAATGTATGAAATGCAATAAAATAAATTATTTTTAAAGAAAAAATGAACAAAAGAAATTTAGCTCTATATTCAAATTTGAACATTTTGATTTTAATTTCACCGCTAGATGGCAAAAACCTTTATCTGTTGACTCGAAAGTGGTAAAGTAATTATAACTATATAAGTCAAAGCATAATTGTATAATACATTTGGTGTATTACATATTTTACATTGATTTTTGTCGGAAATCACTCTGAGATTAATTACGATACATGAAGTTGTTACAGACAAACCGATGAAGATAATCATACCTGCGAGTATGGGATAGGCAAACATGTGAGAAGGAGAAAAGGGCTTTACAGCTAATCGCGATCGCTTGTATAAGAGGCATCGATCGCCTCTTTAATCAAACGCCAAAGTCTCGCTCGGCATTGCCAGATATATCGCCTCGTACATATAGACTTGTCGGAAGCTAGCTGGCTGGCTGGCTGGCGGTCTGCGCGCAAAGTCAAGGACAACTTTCGACTCGACGCTTGAAATCGTACTACTATAAACTTGCGAGCTCTCTTGCATCGAGAGCTTCTCGAGCTTATACTTTTTTTCTCACTATATATATTTTACAAGTACTTACGACGTAGTCATCGTTGCAGACGAAAAAGGCCCTTTCGGGCCAGCTAATGGCCTGCACATAGGGATGCGGTGCTAGGGGATCCACGGCTGCGACGTTTTTTTCGCGCCTATTGCCGCTTGAACGGCACTTGTTTCACACTCTTGCCTTATTATTATTCTAGGCTTCGCACTATTCTCTTTCATACGCGCTTATCACACGCACGCTGCAATATTTACTCCGATTCGGGGTGGCATCCGTGGCGCAACCCTTGACAACTCGTGACGCTTTCGGCGCGCTCTCTAGAATCACTGGAGAGTGCACTTTCTACTTTTTCATTTCTGCGACTTTTACCTCGCCTTCGGACTCGATTTATATAAAGATATATCAAGGCGCATTCGAGCTGTCCGTTATTGTTTTTTCATCTTAGCTGTTTGGCGCGTGCGAGCGAGATATTATGCATTGCGCGTCGCGTCACTCGTTGTTTATACGTTTGCACTCTCACGAACAAACACACACACGCACACACACGAGCGCGGCACTCGTCGATCGTTGCCGATTTTTTTTCTCTGTATAGGCGATTTTTGTGCACACGCGGAAACGAGCGCGCAGGTAAAAATCGATGGCGTGTCTCGCGGTTTGCCGCTGCTACAACTGAGGTATTCGTCGCTGCCATACTCGTCGCCGCGTGAATTTGTCGAAATTTGGCAAGACTCGATATTGCTTGTATTTTTAGCAGCCCTCGGTACGAGCTATCGGTATGCCGCGACATTTTGTCTCCCTCTCTCTACCTCCCTCGTGTGCAACGCTCGAGCACAATAAAACTGACCCCTGTCCGATTTTTTTGTTTATATTTTGCGTGGCTCTCACAGTGCCTGTGTGTCTCCGCGCGGCGTTCGACGATCGGATGCTGCTCTCCCGATTTTCGTCACGCCCGAGGTAGCGCGAGTCGAAGCGGATTGATTTGCTGCTGATTGACAGCTAGAAGGTTACCGGCGCGAGTCTTCGGCAGCAGCTCGTTTTCCAGCCTGGGCCAATGATTTTTTCAAGAATTCGTTAATTCTTTACGCTCGGCTAATTTAAGGAGCTCATTTTTATAAATAAAATACAAGCAGATTGACTTGAACATAATTTCAAATTCCTTTTCAGTAATCAGAGGTGGCTAGATTATTGGGAACTGATTAATGTAGAATCATATGTATTTTTGAAACCATCATTTTTAAAGGTAGAATTATGCACTGATTATTGTATCATTTATGAAAATAACTGTTTTTGAGCAAGTTTATTATTGTTGTCTGATTAACAGACAGAAACAGATCAAAATTGTACCGTTAATAATATTCTTACCACAAAAGAGTACCAATCATTTCTATTAAATTATTGAAATTGAGAACAAATTCAGAATCTTTTGAAATTAAACAATTTTTAGATGAAAAAATTCAGTCCCGATCAGCAACCGATCGTACAGCTTATTGCGTCGAATGAATCGATGCATATTTAATCTTCGCATCATCTTCGAGATTATTACGGCTATTCACCGCGTAAGAACATCTCTCATACGCGACGCGTGAAATTCTCACGACAAATAATAATACTCGAGCAAAAAGCTGCGCAGTGATTGGCATTCGTTCGAGCTTTTCGCTCGTTCTCGTTGCAGCTAGTGCTTCTTCGATCGCGTGCGTGTGCACATTACAACGGAAGCAGCGGCCCGAACGAGCGCGACTTTCTTTTTGGCGCGTGAATTTCGCGCCGCGTCGCGTCGGCACGTGCGCTACCTCCGTTGAGCTCGAGCTCTCGAGGCCCGCTCGAATCGTCGCAGCCATCGTCACAGTCCGAGAGCAGCTCTAATATTCGTATCCAAAGACGCATAGGCGAGCGTCGACGAGCGGCCGCGTATAGAGAGCGTCAGCGAGTTCCTCGAGGCGCAACTTCATTTCTCGTTCAACGTTTGATCTGCAGCTACATCGACGTTAGAGAGTGGTTATTGTATATTGTTTCAAGGATTGCCCGCGTCAGAACGCGTGTCCGACTATAAATATGACCTGAAGTCGCGACGATCAGAGAGACGCTCCAATTTTCTAGCGTTCACTTTCTCTTTCACTAGAATGTATTGTTACATTAAAGAGGCTTGCTTGCATATCAAAATAGTCACTGAGGTCGTTTTATTACAAAAAATTTCTAACAACTTAAAACGGTAGTTCTAAAAATTGTTATGGACGTTTCACGATTTATAATTAGAACAATGTAAATTTTTTTCGGAAATCAAATAATCTATGAATTCTTTTTTCACATTTCACCAAGCTTCATTGCGCACATTTTTGAATGTCGACAAGCTGCACAGTCGCAGAGGTGCCAAGGTGTAATCTGATCAAACGCGTCATCAACAGTCAAGTAGGCACAGATAAAATCATACATGCATAAAAGCTTCCTGATAATTGTCTCACAAGTGTTTGCATGAGAGGTGGGAATATCTTAAGCACCAACAAAAAAGATACATATTACGTGGCTCTTCAATCATATTAAATTATTGTTAAAAAGCAATTATTAGAGTGTCCGCTCCACTGCGCTCAACGACCGACGAGGCTTAAGAATTTTATAGCCAAGAGCCAATTGAATCGAAAAATTTACACTCTTCTCTTTTTTTATCTTCAAAAATCTTTGATGAGAATTACTGATGGACTTTAAGCAATTCAAATTTCAATGTATTCAATCTAACACAATCGTATTAAAATTCCCATTTACGTAAAATGAACATTTTAGGAATTGTAGGCCCACCTCATTGTAATACCGTACGGCTCTGTTATAAAATTTTTATCTAATAAGCTCAGATATTAGAGTAAATTCTTTTAATTACTTTAAAACTTGAATAAATTTTCAACGCTGATAACCAAACTATAATTATATTTATTAATGTGCGATAATCATATTGCTTAAATGTTTAATGAAAGAATGAAAAATGTTAACTAGATCACTGACATTATGATGACGAATCACTCGACAGCGTCAAATTAGATGTAAAAAGGGAAGTCGCTCGAGGGAAACATATAGGTCAATTTAATCGATTTTTTTATCAATTTAATTTACATAATTTATTATTAAATTAATCATTTAATTATTTTAAATAAATAACCTGAAGGTATAAATAAGTAACATAAAAATAAATCCGAAAATAAAATGTCAACACTCTCAATTGCTTATTCTCATTTTATTTCAATTGTTTACCGATATCATTTTTATTTTAAAACTTTTCAGAATTCAATACTGAAACGCCGGCAATTATTTGCAAAGAACAGCAAGAAAAAGACGCATACGCATGTGATAATATTTCTTTGAATTAAATTTGGACGCTCACCAAAGGTCACACTATTCACCGTCTCGTTCGTCATGGCTTACGAGACATGACAAATCGCCTCTAATGCTCAATTGTTTTTCGATACGCCATGCCAATTGCCCCAGTGTATCTTGATTTTACATTAAAATCGGTATGCTTTCAGCATAAGTCATTCAAAGCTCAGTGCAGTTTCATCGCTAGTACCCTTAGATCGTAATGTAGCAGCGTCATGAATGATTGTCCACACAGAGACAATGAATTGCTCTTAAATTGTAACATATATTCACACGGCTTTAGTCTAATTTTAAAAATCATAATAAATTATAGAGTGATATTCGCTACGAAAACTTTAAATGTGATGTAATCTAAAACATATTTTTTCAATACATTTTGGCTCGTTCTATCAAAAACTTTAATTAAATAATTGCACTAACCAATTC